GGTCAAGTCTCGTTGGGTTTGTCGTTGAATTATCAGGGTTTCGGTTCTGGGTTTCGTGAAAGCAGCATCGGATTCGGTCGTCGGAAGGTTGTAGCCTCTAGTGGATTTCTCTCTATTTTGGAAGTTGAGTCCTGAAAGAGGAAGTAGAACTTGAATATTCTCTTGTCTTAGCATCACAGAAATTGTTGTAATCATTATTCCTGTCTAAATTTGGTTGTTGTTGTTTTCTGTTTGCTACTTTTTTAAAGCACTTCCTTCTGGTTTGATGTTTGATCTCATTCTCGTTTCCGTGAATGTGTTTCGTTTGTTGTCTTTTTCCTCTTCTGGGTAAATATGAATGCAATGATCTTGTTCAATCAGAATGGCTTATTGTTTCAGCGAATTCGTCCGTCTGTGTGTTTTCAGGTAGAGGAATCTCTAAAGAATGGTGAAGTGATGGCAGCTGCTGAAGCAAGAACACTGTGGCAGAGAGCCGTTAACCGTTGCTTTGTACAAGAAGACGCTAAAAGGGCTCCCAAGCTAGCTTGCTGCCAGTCATCCTCGTCTGCCTCGACCAAGCAGTTCGATTCTTCTGGATCTACTGGAACAGCTCCTGACCTGCATGATCAGTCTTCTGCGTGTTTCATGCCTCTAAACAGAAACCCTCGATTCCCCGATCTTCCACCCGATACAAGATGGTGGGCTCACATTCAACCTGGCTACCCAGACAGGAAGGATCTCGTGAAGGATCAGATGAGGCCATTGGAGGCTAATGCCGACATTCCAGGTGAAGGGTCTGCTACCGTAATAAGGTCACCTTCCAAAGATGACTGTAGCTTTGGTCCAGAGGACGATCAAGGCCGCCCCCGCTGCAAAAAGCGAAATCCTGGAACAGGAGAGAATGAAGTAGAGGCTTTGACATGCGAGAACTTTCAAGAATACATCGAGTTGATTGGATATGAACCTTCCAAAAAGTCGAATGAGCTCTCGTTTGATATGGGATCACCGTGGAATCTTTCGAGCGAGAAAGCTGAGCCGTGGTGGCGGACGACTACAGATAAAGATGAATTGGCTTCCTTGGTTGCACAAAAGTCGCTAGACTATGTCGAGAACTGTGATCTTCCAACACCACAGAAAATTCACAAGAAGAGACCCTCTTATGACAGTCCACGCTGTTTCAACAGTGATGGATTATCATCTTTGGACTGTGATTCCCGTGCTGGTCATGTTCGTGACCCAACCATGCATGGCCATGGCCAACAATGGGCTGCAACCAGAGATGGGCATGAGCAATCTAGCTCTGAGAAATCTTTCAGGTATTTAAATTTCTAAAGCTTGACCTTGTTCAACCTATGATTCTTCCTTTCAAAGCCTAATATGTGTTTGGAATGTGGGTGCAGCCTAAAGGACAGAACAGAGAAGCAATCACAGGCTTCATCTGATGGGTCTGGACTGAGCAAGGAAGAGCTCTTAGAAGCCATACGCCATTCTCAAACGCGTGCAAGGGAAGCAGAGAAGGCAGCACAAGAAGCCAAGAAAGAGAAGGAGCACCTCATGGAACTCTTATTCAGACAAGCCTCCCAGATTTTCGCGTACAAGCAATGGTTCCAACTGCTTCAGCTGGAAGAACTCTGCCTGCAGGCCAAGAAGAAGAAGGACCCACTTCCATGGAAGCATTGGGAAGGGAGAAAACAGAGGAAGAAATGGAACAAGGAACACGGAGGCAAAAGGGCTGCTAAACAAAACCACCACGTGCTGTTTGCGTTAGGGTTGAGTCTTGTTGGTGCAGGTTTGCTTCTTGGATGGACCATCGGATGGATGATACCTTTCTAGAGAGAGAGAGAGGGACTCTGTGTATAGATTTGATATGATATGGAAATGAGTATGAGAGATTTGCTTTGGGATTCGATCAAATTGGTCTGATGGGTCCACCCACATGTTGTTGTAAGAATTTAGTTGAGATTATGTCTCTGAAATCTGAATCCTCCTCCAGTTCTGTCTCTTCATATATTTATTGTTAAAAAAAAACATTTTTCCTTGTTTTATTCCTATTTTTCGTGTAAAAGTGGGCCAAATGAAATTAATGATTCCGGGCTGGATACGAAAATACGGGCCGGCCCAAGGAGACCAGTTTTACGTGTTTGACTTTTGACCCAATATGGAACTGGAACTATCGTTTCGTTGCCCATTGACGGGCTCGGAAACTTCGAAATCTCGGCATAGCAGTGAGAGAGAGTGATCGAGTTAGTGCGAAAATGCCGATCATGGAGAGGTTGAGGATGTTCGTGGCGCAGGAGCCGGTTATTGCTGCCTCCTGCCTCATCGGCGGTGTCGGTAACGCTCTTTTTAAACCCTAATTCGGCCCGTCTTGATCCCTTATTAAATGGATCGGTTCAATTCTCGTTCCTTTCATCAAAAAAAAAAAATCTCGTTCTTAATTCGATCACTTCTGGAGAATCGTTCGAACTGTACTTGTTTTGAGTTAACATGAATTCTGAGACCCAAAAAAAGAGGATCTGGTCTTGAAATCGGCATAGGTTGGGCTTTTTCGGACAGATGTGTTGGTTATTGGTGCCATCGGAATCTCAGCTTTATCGGTTTAAGAGCCTGTGGACGTCGAACGATGGCCAAAAGTCTCTTTCTTTGGGCCATTATTCAGCTCAAAGCATCTGAAACTCGTGGTATATATCACTGGGGGTTTGTTGAATACGACAATGCCGGTTTGATGGTTTTGCCCTTGGGATAGAAGGGTATTGTGTTTGTCTATTCACGTCTGGATCTCCTTATGCTCTTTTGTCGTGATGGATATTGGTTTCTAGGATGATTTTTCCTTGAGAAGTTGATACCTTTTTTCTTCTGATCATGGTAAGCACTCGATCTTGTTAAAACTTGTAGGTATCTTCCTGCCTGCTGTTGTGAGGCCTATTCTGGATTCCCTCGAGTCATCCAAGCAAGTTCAACCTCCTGCCTTGACCGACGTGAGTATTAGTTCGAATCCGTTATTTTGCAAAGGCTTTTTTGTTGGTTAAACGCAATCAGTAATTCCCCGATGCTTCAGTTTCATTCATCCCAAATGGCATAATGAACTTGCTTTTGTATGCTGTATGCTAAGCCTCGTCTTGCTGCCATTCTTGTGGTTAAGAGTCCCCTCTCTAGTTTTTGTATGCATCTGCGAGAATTCTTCGGTTCTTATGAACGAGCATATAGTCATCATACATCGCCGTCGTTGTAAAAAATACCGGTTGAATATCACATATGTTGACCTTAGTGGAATTCTGAATGCTGTAATTCAATCCAATTCAACTCACCATTAGAATTAGACATTAGGGAATTGGTGTTTCAAATATTACTCAAATCTGCCTCGTCTCCGTAGGTTGTTGCGGGTGTCACCGGGAAGAAACAAGGTTGATCCGGGCAAATGATCTCTCCCCTCTTGGATTATCCATCAGCCTTTTGTTTAACTTCAGTTCTCTCTCTAGGAATGAAATAAACCAGAGTTGCTTTTTTATTTTTTTTGTTCTGGAATGCTACCTGAAAGTGTTCATTCATATCACTCAAACTCTTAACATTCAAGGGCATTGACACTTCACTGTCCCTTGTTCTTGTCCCTCTATTTGTACATTATTCTTCTGAGAGCTTATGTCCTAAGCTAAGAGAATTTGGAAAGCTGCATACTTGGTTGCAAAAACTTGTCTTTTACCATCTACCAACTTCACAGAGACATTGAATTCCACATTGATAGAGCAAGGGGTGTCAATCGGACCGGTCCAACCCGGTTCAAATTCGCATTCGGCCCGAGGGTTGCATCGAGCCAAAATTGACACTAGATAGAGCTCATTGTTAACACACATCTTCTACATAGCAATATTCCGGTTTGATTATGGAGTCCCAACCAAATATACTTGACACTCCAAAAATATTACAAAACACCAAACAAACATATACAAGCCCAACCACATATATATATACGTACACACTTACTCACTGACAGAAAGCTTGAAAGCAAAACACGACAATATTGAGAACTTTCCCTTAAAAGACTTCCGCATGGAAATCGTTTGCTTCTGTCAACAGATTTAAAGTCTCCCTAAACATACATAGTTATCAACTTTTTTCTTACGTTAATTAACAAACCATCTACTTGCTTGATTGCTTACATCTTCGTGCGTGAGATATTATAATGAAAAAACCACAAAAGCAGAAAACCAAAAGCGATGATACGTTTCATAACATAAACATCTGAAACATGAAAGGCTCATGTTTCATCAACTCGAGGGCCTCTGGTCCGAATCAAGACTTATCACCGTACCCTCACCTTCCAGTGACCACTTCCTTTTCGCGCTCATTTTCTTCACCTCCTCGCTCGAGTATATGCATATCTTCTTTGCCATTTTACAGAACTCGCTGCGTCAAAGAAAAACATCAACTCTCGGACCAAAAAAAAAAAAAGGATTTCATGTCAGTGCACACATATATCTCGTTTTTTGGAACTTACTTCCATGGATCATCGCCAACGAGCATCATGTCACCCTCATCATCCGTGAACACGACCGCCCATTTGTCCCGAGCCCGAATCTCGCCTTCGATCTCAAACATCTTCTCTAACTCCTCGATCAATTCCTCGTACGATCTCAATACTGTCAAATCCACTGCTCTCCCTACTGCCATCCCTTGCATTTGTACCTTCCCACAGAAATAAAAAAAAAACAGCGTTAAATGAGAGTATTTCGGGTTTAGTAAACAAGAAACAAGGGGTACCTTGGTTCGGCTCCTTGTAGAGGAAGCATTAGCCGGCGCTTGTTGCTTGCCCTGTGAATGTGATGTTCCAGGTGGATCTTGCTTCTGCTCCTTCACCAAACTCGAAGGGTTAGAATCTTGGCCATTCGGTTCCTTGTCAGTGGGACTGGGCTTGCAGTTGCTTGTGAGATCGAAACCAAACAACCTATAACAGCTTGTGGGGGTCTCTGGTTTTTGGGATCTCTCGGCTTGTTCAGACATGAAGCTGATGTTTGTGGGGCCCAACAATAAGGTCGATGAGTACCCGCCTGAGAACACGGTCTTGTTGGAATTTCTCTCTGCTGATGAATCTTGGAACAGTTTCAGGGAGGCACTGGATGCAGTTATATCTGTAACTTTCGAAAAAGGGTTTTCAGGGTCAAGAATGACGAGTGGATATAATACTACATAAATGAACTCCTCAACCTTGTTTTGAAAGTACCTGAAATCGGTGAATCAACGGGTCTGGACCGCTTGCATTTGAGCTGAGGCTGAGCAGGTGTAGCCATTGGTGAAGATGGCAAGAAAGGCTCTATTTCCCATGGAGAGACTTTGCCTGGTCTCTGAACAGAGGCTGGCTCATCCCATTGAGTCTACAAAGAAATTACAGATTTTTCACAAAACCATATTGAGGATATCATATGATTTCAGGTAAGTGGGCGATGTTCCTTAACCTGCAATGACCTCCATTTAGAAGCTGGCCACTGCGGGGATAGATCTCCGATCCCGACAATAGTACCCGTAAAACTGAGTACACAGACAAGACAGTAGACATTACAGAATCATCAACATGGACAAACAACATTAGAGCAAACAGAAAAAGAAAACGACAAAAGCCTGGGGAAAAAAGAAATCTACATTCTCTCAGGAGACTCTTCTCCCTCGAATCTCATCCTGAACCTCATACCGACGGAGAAGCCATGCTTCACAGCCTCCATATACTTGTTCACTCCTATTATGAATTGGCTTATCCTGAAAAGTGTAAAAGAAAGAAAGTAACTTTCTTTGATCTGGGCAAAGCACATCTCCATGAAAATATGAAACGGGCGGACAAGAAACAATACCTAGGCTTGTAAAACACTACGAATAGGGTTCTTGTATTGACAGCATGAGAAGCTGTAGCAAGAACTCCCAAATGCATGCTCTGACTAGAGATAACAGATGAAGGCATCGTGCTCTGCTGCCGGGCTAGACGCCTTACCCCGACCCGTAAATCCCCGTTTTCACCCCTAAACTTGCCGGTTTTTAAAATCCAGAGTTCCTTCAAAGTTAGTGAAGTAGAATCCAACAGGTTAGATTCTCAGGTCTGTGAGTGAACTCAACTACCTGAGGAACACAAATGCATCTCCAGTTACTAGTCTCTTCGTTGTAACAAAGGTGCTCCATCCGGTCGTAAGCAGATGCCTCCTAGGTTGTCCTATCAAGACAAACCGCATCATCAGTCCATCTAAGTTCCATCCAAGATCAAGGAAGCAGTTCCACATGCAAAGGATATACATATGAAGTGAGAGATGAGTTACCACCTCTAAATATATGCTTAAACCTCCATTCCACCCCATGAAGATCTCTGGCCACCAATTCTTGAGTCGGAGTAGCTTGTGTCATGTCCTAAGCAATGGAAATGAACAAAGACAGCGGATTCATTTAACTGAAAAAGAAACTAGCTCTCTACTATGCTAGAGGAAACAAGAAAAGAGAGAAGGAAATACAAGGGCAGGCAAGCATTCAGTGGCATGTTTACGCAGAACAGAGAATCCACCATGAGTGCTCGTGTCTGAAGCTGTAAGAATCTTAACAAACGAGTGAACCGCTTGTTTAGGCAGTTCAGAGATGGGTGGATCAGGACTTGTGGGTTCACTTTGCTGCAAAATTTGAGAACAAATGCCGCATTAGTTTCATGAAAGGAAGCATTTTTTTTTTCATTGTCGTTTACGTTTTCCCAAGAGAAGAAGAGGCATCCATTAACAGGGATCAACTTACATCGTCCTCTGGTCTTAAGGTGATCTGAGCGTAAACTTCATCCGTCTCATGCTCTGCCTGCAATCATTACAACATCTGAATAGGAGCGGAAGAAAAGGGCAAAAAGGCAGACCATGATGAGATTACCTTTAACGTGACACCGAGGACTTGACAAAGTATCTTCGTGGGAAGATTAAAAAGAGGGATATGCTCTTCAAGCCCTTGATTAGTCGACGCCTCCAACTGCAAACCCAGAAAATTATAAGAGAAAATAAAAAGCAGAAATTGAGTAATGAAACTGGGGTTAAAAGAAAGAACAGGATTCTGGTTTTCATCCTTGCTGAAATTATAAAAGGAGGATACTTGTTCCATGTGACCCTGTGGGAAGTAGAAAACTCTCTCCCCGACACGAGGAACTTCCACCAAAGGTCCTGCACATGCTTTCCATAGCTCCGTGTACATATCATCGTGATCGAAACCTAGATCATGTGCCCCAAACAAAACAGCAATCGATTTTCCAAACGTCAAGATTTGGAAGAAAAGTTGCTTGATTTGAACTAATACAGGAAATATAAGAATTGGGTCTGAGGGTTTAAGCTTGTTTGCGCATCGATGAAAAAAGAAGAGAAAATGTTGACTTCCAGCTTGTTTCCCGAGAAAATGCAGGAAAAATTCAACCGTGTACGATTGAAGCCATTATAGAAGAGAATGGTTCATTTTCTCGGGAACCAAACGGAAACGAAGCACCTCTGAGTCCATCAACTAATTTAATTTAGCTTTCTCCGACATTCACAGGAACTACAAAAGAAGGGAAAAATCAGAACTTCTTCTCTCTCACTCACTCTCTAACTCACCTGATCTTCTGTCAGACATGGGCGAGCCCTTGAAATCAACATCCACATTCGCCATCGAAAAACCCAGATGAAACAGCAGGAACCCGAGCTTTCTTCCAAACTTTCTAAATTAACCCAGAGAAAGAAAAAAAAAGTAACAGAGCTTCAAGAACGAAACCCTTCACGCGCCAAACGCTAACCCATCAAGAAGAAACACAGAGGAAGACCCATCAAAGAAGGGAGAAAAAGGTTTCTCTCTCTTCTTTAACAAGACACGACGGTTATGTCCGTATTCATTACAGAAAACGTAATTCAGGCACTGTAGGATTACTTTTTTGGGGGGTTTTTTCCTTTGGCTCTGTTTCAGTTACGAGACCGCTTCCTCTCCCTCCCTCCCTCCCTCCCTCCCTCTCTCTCTCTCTCTCTCCCCTCCCTCTCTCTCCCCTCCGGATTCGTGTCGTTTCGCCTTCTCAGTCACCAACTTCTGGCCGTTTTCCAGCCTCTGCTTCTTCTTCAGCTCAAGTCCAGCTTCTTACTTACCCGATCTGCACCAAGACTGGTTCTTTCTTCAAGACACAATATCACACAGACATTAACTCTCTCTCTCTCTAGATATGTGTATATAAATATTGCATAACTTAGTTCAGATTCTGCAAAACTGTAATTTCCGCTCCAACATAAAGTAATTTCGGTCGAAATTACGCCCCTCTATTTCTGTAGAATATTTAATTCCATCCTTAGTGTAAATGTCAGCGCTCTCTCTAAATAATAAAATCGGATTTCATTCATTACCAAACTGTTTAATAATATCAGCGCTTACTCTATGTTTTTCTTTTTTTTGTGCATTATATAATATATTGGTCCTTCCAATTAATATTTGACATTAGATAATTAATATCTAGATTTCACGTATTACAGATTTCATATTTATTCCAATCGCTTTCACAAAATTATTCCTATGGGAATAGAGACAGAAAAAAAAACTTACCAAAAAAGGAAAATAATTTATTCATAATGCAGATGAAGGGTCAAGGCCTACACTATCACTACCTCCTACGTTACACAATAATTAACGCTTCGACAAAATTATCTAACCGTTTTTAATATTAACCGTGGTTAAATGGACGGTAAGTTGAGGGGGATGCATTCTCAGCCGTCGGATAAAGACGGCTGTCCGAGCGATGTAGTAAATGTAACTTGTCTTTTTTTCACCAGCTGACGCGCGTGAAGCCAATCGCTGGGAGATTGTATCCGTTTCCGTTAGATGACCGTCAGAATTGACGGCGCCGTTACCCGTTTTCATTGATTTGCCGTCTATTTGTTCTGTCTGGATCGTGGCAGGCAAACGTGTTGGCTCGTGTATACCCCGGCAGAGTTTCTTTAAAAAAAAAATTAAAATGGGAGTTTGACACTGTAAACGGGGTTAATTACAAGTATTGCCATCAGGGACCACTAGCGGCTTTGATAAGCGTGCGAGAGTAAATGTAAAAATTTCACGTGTAAATTCAGAAGGTCAAAGTCTCTCATCTCTCCTCGGAGTTTTTAACTGCGACACGCTCTCTTGTTGCGCGTCGTCTCACGCTCTTTTCACCTCCACTCTTTAAATTTTGGAAAAAAAAAACTATTATGATTCAATGGATATGAATCATATGTGTGTGTGTATATATTATTTGAAATACGTAATGTTCACCAAAATGCACCACATCAAAATAAATTCTAGTTTTGACTTGTTTTAATGTTTTTGTTTTTTTTAATCATAGTCTTTACACCGATAAAAATTTAATTTAATATCTATTTTTTTATTTGGTCGATGACATGATATGATTGGTGTGAATATTTTATAGCTCATACCATATAATTCTTGGAATTTATCATTATATTGCCACTGCAATTTCTTCAAAATTTCAAATGATTTTTGCCAAGAATTCAACTGGAGTTAAGAGGAATTAAAAAAATATCAACTTGAATTAAACAAATTAATTATGATTTGATTAAATAATTCAAAGATCTTACTACCGCAATCTAAAAAATTAATTTAGATTTAAATGAAATTGTTTAAGTATTGATTAAATTAAATATTCAATATAAATAATATATTTTTAGATATAGATAAAACTGGATATTTATTGTTCATTTTAAATTAAATTTATACTTTTTTAAGGAATTTAAAATATATGTCATGTAGAAATGACTTGCCTTAATAGTTAAATTGAATAATATGTAGTTTGTTCCATGATAAAATCAACACTTTTGCCACAAATAATTGTTAGATGGTAGAAGTAGACAAATAGCATAGACAACTGAGAAAGAGAGTAATACACGCGCGAGAAGTGAGAGTAAGGAAGGGAAAAGAAAAAAGTAGGAGAGAGCGACCATGCCCAAGTGTCGGAGGAAAAGTGGTCCCCAAGTGTACACGTCAGAATGGCCATGCTGTTCTGTCATAATGTAGCCACGTGTCAGTTCCTGACTTGTCATCACTCTGCTCCGTCTCAGTACTCTCTCTTTCTCTCTCTACACCCACAATATATTCACACACCCCCTCACCATAAGGTCACCATAATATATATAAAAGTGAGAATCGCATAAAAAGAAATATGCATTGTGTAATGCCCTAATATAATATGAATGTACACATTTAACGGCTCATTTATGTCTCTCTGTGTGTATATATAACGACTGTAAATAAGGTTTGATGCCATCAATAGCACGGATAAGGTTGTATGTATGTATGCATGCATGCATGTGTGTATGTATGTATGTATGCATGCATGCATGTGTGTATGTATGTATGTATGTATGTATGTATGTATGTATGTACGGGTTCATTCAAAATTGTGTAGTATTGGACCAAGTGTTTTATACACGATTTACATAACTGCATAAAGATAGCGTTTTTTTCTTATATATACACATAAAGATGAACTTTCAAGGAAAGCTTATAGCTGTCAATATTGAAATAAGAAACTTTGAATACAAAGTCCAATTAATGATTCAAATTAGAAAAAGAAGAGATAAACAACGGACAAAGGAGGGGGCCGTTGCTTCTAATTGTTGGTTAGGAATATATGATTATTCAAATCGAATATGAGCGCACGGATGGGAATATATATATAACGTTAATTATTTTAATTAAGAAATGGTTAGTGGAGGAAGTGGAATCCATTTCAACTATGGTTTTAATTTCTAATTGCGATTATACTCCATTTTGTCGAAAACAATATTTAATCACTCTGTTTTGTCATAGTCGCCGAGTTGTATCATATTAAATCTGTCGAATATGCGTTTTTATATATTTACATATGTTGTAGTCATTTTTTTTATACAATGGACAAACATAAAGCATATTGTATATATATATATATAGTCTTTGGTAAATACACGTGTTCTGAGAATCAAATGGCTGGCTTTAAGTTTACAACGCAGTCAATAAAGGAAGATTTTATTCAGTCCGTATCCATATATTATCTTATTAAACAAAATTACTATCCTATGAAATTTTATAAATATATAACATTGTTATGAAGTTCAAGTTTTAGTTTTATATTTTTTTTTTTTGCCTTTATTTCCGCATTTTAGGTATTAGTAATGTAAAAACGAAGGTAAAACTACCCATGAGCATTTTTGTGTGGGAAAGAATAAAAATTTGTATCTACGAGTATATGTTATGAATTATTAGCATTATCTATAATGTTGTTAACATACATACATATATATATATATATGGAAACATTTATCATCATCATATATATATAACGTAAATTATTCGTCATTTTACTTGGATGGATCCAAACCAAGAGCATTGTTATATATATGGATGTTTGTTTATTTCAATAAACAGTAGCATATGGCGTGTCCTAATGACTACGGAAAACGTTAAATAATCTAATTATTACATATTCATGTGTTAAATTAGTAGGAAATTTCGAATTAAGCTAAACAAGTAGCAGTTATTTCAGTCACTCAAAGCACGACTCTTCCCCTCATAAAAGGTTACGCAACGGGACCTTTAATCCCAAGTAATTAATTAATTAATCACTATAGATTAACATTCGGATTAGTTTAAGTATAATTATCTTTGTAATCCTATACGCTAAGCATCTGATCCGTTGATTCGATTAGGATGAGAGATTATATACTGCGATAGTTTTTTTTTAATTTTAAAAAATATATAAAAGTCATAACCAGATTCAACATGTAAGCATGTCCCCCGTTGATTCCACACCTTCCGGTTTCCGAATTTATTTAGGATATTTCGGGGAATCTTCTATAGTTCGGTCCAATAACCAACTTTAAAAAGCATATATTAAGAAAAAAATTAGATGTCATTTTTGGATTCGAGATCTGAAGTGATGATACAACGTAAGATATATATACGTACGCATGTATGTATACACCCATGCATTTATACGCGTATGCGTACGACACACACACACACACACATATATATATATATATATATATATATATGCACGGATCCCGCTTTTATTTCTACATTTTTTTAAAAAATATGTTTAGCAATGGATAAATATATAGTCCGACAGGTTTATTGCTTGGTTATTATACGATGATATTTATATTTTATAAATCCGAATAATATTGAACTCCTACTTGAAATACATATAATCACTCATACAGCGTGTTGGGGATTATCTATATCATATATAAAATTTAGTTCCCATCATTACAGGATTATGAGTGTAATTAATGATTTATGAGTTATCATAAGATGTGTATTTGCATACACAAGAAGTCAATGAATTAATCATATCACAACTGATCATTCACCTGACGACACTGATTGTGGTCTCACATGGAGGCATCATACATATATACATACACACACTCTAATGTGTGTCTATATATAATTAATTATATATGTATGTATAATGGAAAAATCGAAAGGGGTACTTTGGTAATTTGTTGGATTCGTCCGTACATCCCAAGGGTCCCGGGTTTTCACAAGTTCCCCAACCTGTAGAGGTCCAGTTTTTCATCATCTGGCACTGGCACAAGTCTCTTGCATCTATTTGATTGCCCCCTTTGTTTACTTGTTGATTGATTTCTTCGTTGGAAGTGGGTGTGCGTATATGCATGTGTATGTATGTATGTATGTATGTATGTATGTATGTATGTATGTATGTATGTATGTATGTATGTATGTATGTATGTATGTATGTATGTATGTATGTATGTATGTATGTATGTATGTATGTATGTATGTATGTATGTCAAAGAGACAAGGATTCCTAGTACGTACTCCACACTTTTGTGTGTATTTTTAATTTATGTTTTCGAATACAAGCACATGCGTGGCGAGGGATTGGCCGATTTGTATATATTGATTTAAATGGAAGCCAGAAGAGGACCATAGTGGCCTCTTATTATTGGTATTACTGTTGCCCTAAGGAATGCATCGGGTTTATTTATGCCATCCACCACCTTCGCCAGTGTGTACACACCCATACGTACATATATATATATATATATATTATGTATTTATTTTATAAAAAAAAAAGGTAAATAATTTGTCGAGGGAACATAGGGTAAAATAATTTAACGAAAAGGGGACCATATAAAATCAATCACATGATATGATCGTCTCAGACTGCGCGGATGGGTCTCTCTCTCTCTCTCTCTCTCTCCCCCCATTATTATTTCGCCTTACGGATGAGTCTACCCTTTCTGTTTATTCATCTTCACCGATCTATGATTTTTGTATGAATATTTTGATACATGGATATAATTCCCTAACTTATTGGCATTCTTTAAATTTATTTTTTCTTAATATAATACGTTAAACCCCCCACTAGTATTGTAAAAATGATTTGGAAAGTTACGTTCATAATGCAAAACCATTAATTATGATTAGGGCACTAACGTTACACAGTTGAGAATCATGAATCATGGATTAATTCCTATAACTTCGTTTTCCAATTTGCTCCCATCAGTCACCCCTCACAACAAAGGAGGCTTGCTTACCCACTTCCTCTTTAATTATTGTTCTTAATTAATATTAGAGACAGTAATTAGTGCTTATGCTCCATATGATTAGCCAACATAAACTAGCTCCTAGACCCTATGCCCCCCCCCCTCCCTTTAATTTTATTTTCTTTTTCTCTTTTTTATTAATTAGTATATTATAATACCGGATTAATGTCGACGATCAAAATAAACCACAAAACCCATGTGTAGGCGTGACCCTTTCCACATATATAAACCAAAAAATAACCCATCCATTTCCATATATACATACATGCAATAAGCTACATCATTGTCCACTTTTAAATTCTGAAATCATTGTGGGCCACAACGAAAGATCTTAGGCTTCAGTGGACAAACCGAACGAGCCCACATACGTTGAAACAATAACTAAATGGCCCTGTTCCTTTGTTTCACCGTAAGCCAACTTCGCGTTTACAAAGACATAAATGGGTTTTTATACATTCTAATAGTTATGACTGTATTATATACATATATATATATATATATATATATATATATAATTAAAAAAAAATAGATGGTACACCGATAAAATGGGTGCGAGCAAAGAGGTGTAAAAATGAAAGAGACTTCAGAGGACAAAGAAAAACGGGTGAACCGGGTCGGGTTATCGGGTTTGAGTGTGATCGTCGGATGGATCATACGACTCATCTATCAGCGTTACCTTAATACGGGCTTTTCACGTAAAAAGCCCAACTTCTTATCCATTCAAAAGCCCATTATGATAAATTGGGCCCAACATATTTTCCTTGCAACTGAATGCACTAAAAATAAAATGATGTCCTACAATGCTTTTAGAAAGAATCATGATGTGTAAATTTGAGTTAAAAATAAATACATTATAACAATAATAATTTTGCAATTGCAGATATCGACTGTTTCGTACGAACCATTATGTGATACGGATTTTATTTATTTTTTCTTCGATACAAATATAAACATAAATATGCGAGACATAAAATGAAATGTCAGTGTCAGCATCTTGCGTGGGACATTTTTTGGAGGTGGTCCACTCCACGGCGGATGCGCATATCTCAGCGACCGAATATGAATCATATGTTTGTAACAATTAAAACATTATAACTAATGTTCAATTTCGTTGCCAACCATAAAATCGGAGGGCGAGCGTGCCATGTGAAAACTCGCTAAAGAGTGAAATGACGATATTGCCCTTCTCTGTCCCAAAGATGGATCGGATATTCGAAAAAATCAGGATATTTGGATTGTTCTCGAAAAATAATGGATATTGAATTATAAGATTTGTATACAGAATTTGTGGTTTACAAATATCTGGAGTATGAATGTCCGAAATAATATTCGGGTATTCGTATGTTCTGGATACGGATTTATTTAAAAAACTATAATATTTATATATAAATTTTTAAAAAATAAAAATATATTTATAAAAATTGATGAATTACGATAAAAATATGAGATAAAAAGATATAATAAGAGATAAATAATAATAAATTTAGTTTTTTTAGATAATGTTGAAAAATATAAAATTATTTAATCTAAAATAATTATATTTTATAAAAATATTCCATATATATAAGGTATAATTGTTTATATCCAAATTAGTCGGGTATTCGTTGATATCCGTTTTTCAAATTTTGATTATCCGGATTTGAATTTAAGTTTATGTATATTGAAAATTTTAGATTTAGATTTAAAATTAAATAGATATAAGTATCTTAAAATCGAGTATCTACGAAACGATATCCGGTTTTTTGGTAATTGATTCCAACCCTACTTCGCCTCCTTCCGCACCATCTTCCACCGATACGAGGACGAATTACCAATACTTGTTTGTCTTATATTTCATATATTCAAGAAGAAAGTGGTTCCGTTGCTGTTTGTACCGTGGAGAAACTGCTCCGTTTAACATTTTTAGGTTAGACAATGGATTTTTTTAAATGCACACGTGCGAATAAATTATGAAAGCCACGTGGCGCAATATAATAATGTAATGGGCCCCACACATTCTCCATTTCCCAGAAATATCACATTTGTGTTATTGGATTTGATTCTCTGTTTATTAGAAAAGAAAACGAGACGATGTGCCCCTTTTTTTAAAAATGAATTACCCTTTTTTTATTACCATCCTTTGAATTATCTCTTATATTTAAAACTTAACTGTTAAATTTCCTAAATAAAATTATAGAAAGTAAATTTATGAAATGATAGTAAATTAATTATTTTATTTAATTAAATTTTAATATTGAATATAATTATATTATAATTTAAAATTAATAATATTTTAACCTTTACACCTATTCTTTAGAAAAACTTCCTTTATTTGTTATCGGAAAGAGAACTATTTTTTCCCCCTTTCTACACATAAAGATCTTTTTTACACATAGAAAAAATATTTTATGAAATTATTTGATCGTTATTGTTTCTATAGAAGTATCCATTTTAAAAAAAAATATATATATATATATACACATTGATACTAAATTTAATAATTATAATAGCTTTAAAATAATCCAAAAAATTGAATATATGACGCTGGGAAATAATGATGACATAAATGTATAGGACGACGTCACCATGGCGGCTGCAGCTCCATAATTGTGAAATGCGTAAATAATTGTGGAAACGAAAGAAAAGAAGATGAAACACAATTTTCTTTAATGAGATATGGAGTAGCTATCGTCTGTGATAAAGACTACCGAAACAACGAGTGGTCCCGCCCCACCTCCGATAAAAACTCATCTTAGCCGCACACTGATGGGCCCCACTGCCTCTCCTTTCTTCTTTGATCATCGACCGACAAAATCTATATCACTTGTAATATTTTGTCCCTGCGGGGATTTTCATATAAATATATAAAATATATATTTCTCAATTTTCCTGCAACAGTGTATTTTCGGGTTGGCTACGTGATATTCTTTCTTCTTCTTCATGCATCATACGCCTTATTTTTTAATTATCGTGATTTCATTATTCTAAAAAACATAGATTTTATGATATATTATATAATAAATTTTATTACATGGTTTTCTTCTTCCCCCAGTTGAGGTGGTCCAGTACTTGTCCCAATCGGCATCCAACGGGCTCCCTCATCATACAAAAAGAAAAATCATAAATTGTTTTTGGTAAAAGAAAATCATAAATTTTACTACGAAAACATTACAAATGCTTTTATTTGCATTTATTAGTACATTGACTTTAACAAAATTACCTAATTAAAGCGATTTATACAATGAGTTGCCATCAATGTAAATATTCAGCTAACTAATCATGAACGATATATGTAAACCATTCTTCGATATTTCTTATCGTAATTCACTCACACCTCTATATATATATATACACACCGCATGTATACAAGTATTGCAAGTATATAACTCTACGTCTATAATATATATACATATATATATATATGTACGCACGCGCATCTATACAAAATTTTGTTTATATTTTACAAATTATTTGAATTATATCCGACAATTTATGGAGAAAGCAATTTCGCCTACGTCTTGCTAAAATCGAACTACCACGATGATATATATATATATATATATATTTTAACATATCGTGATATATTCTATAAAAAACATATCGTGATATATATATATATATATTATATATATATATATATTGTGTGTGGTTTATATTTTTTACCTCTATTTTTTTTTTGGAGGTGGAATTTCAACATCTACAATGATGGCACCGCTTTTTGCACATGTTTTACACATGCCTTAAGTCATGATATTGTACTTTTCATTAAAGACAAAAAGTTGTTCCTCTCTTCGCAAGTGGTACCAATGATCATACAAAAAATAATTATTTTATATGCGAAATGATAAAACCGCTCAATTTATAATCGACACATTTAAATTTAATATTTCTGATATAAGTCACACGCATTATTTGTTTATTTGTCTATTTATTTATTCATTGCAACTATTATTAATTGCGCGGGTATATAATGTATATAATGTTATATATATATATACCATGTATATTTTCCCTAAATCTCTACCAATAAATATTTGGTTTTGACGAGAAATCCGGCTTACCAATATATTAATGGTAAATCTTGTTTTTTATACCGAACTTGTAATTCTATTGAAAATTCGAAATGGAAAATCTAATTTCGATTATTCAAATTAAAAAAAAAACACTAGAAGAATTATTTTTTGAATAAATAATTCAAATAGTAGATTTCGTTGTATTCGATCAGCTGATAATAAGCATAAGATCTGTTGCTCGGAATAGCGAAAGAGTGCTGGCCAATGGGTGACCTTAAAAAGAGGAACACAGTTTGTGCATTATACGCGTTTTATTCGGTAAACCCGACCCGGCTTCAACCGTGGTTAAGTCTTGAGCTCTATGTTTTCACTACGGTAGTAACCATGGTTGGGTTTTACAGAGCTCGTACTAACTCAGTCACGCTCCCACTCGCTATATCTATGGCCTCTCTGTTCATACCGTAGAAGACGACTCTTCGTTTTGTGTCTCATTGTTTGAAGCTCATTCGATTGTTTCTTTCTCGCTTTTTTTTTCCGGTAAGAACATCGTGGAGAGACAGAGTGAATCATTTCGGACATTGAAGCCGCCGTCACTTTCCTGAAAAAGTTTAACGTGTGATTGAAATCTCTCTCCCTGAGTGTCCTGGCTTCTGGTCTGTATGATTCTTATCTGGACGGTTCCGACTTTCTCGGCTTGGTATTCATCTGTCGATCTCGTTTCTTCAATTTTACGGAAATTAGGGGTGGAAAGAACTGCGTTTTCAGGTTTCATGCAGTTTACAAGCTCTACTGGGGTTTTTTTTGGGTTGAATGCATTCAGTCTCGGAGGGGAAAATTAGGGTTTTTACGTTGGTATTTTGAATTTCACAGCCTCGCTGGTTCTGGTTTTCTCTTTAATTTTTAATTTCAGCTATTCTTTTTTCTTTTTTCTGTTTTTTTCCCTCATCTGGAATATAAAAAGCCGAGAGGAATATGGGTACTCTAAGATGGGATGAGGAAGACAAGGCCATGGTTACTGCGGTTTTAGGGCACCGAGCTTTTGATTATCTGAGAGCTAGTTCGGTTTCTTCCGAGAATTTGTGTGCGACGATGGGAAACGACGAGAGTTTGCAGAACAAGCTATCTGATCTGGTGGACAGGCCAAACTCGATGAATTTTAGCTGGAACTACGCAATTGTGTGGCAACTTTCGCAGTCTAGATCCGGCCACCTGGTTCTGGGTTGGGGAGATGGGTGTTGTCGGGAACCAAACGAGGAAGAAGAATCAAAACGGGTTCGTGTCCGAAATCGGGGTCTGGAAGAGGAGACATGGCGGAACGTGATCAGGAAAAGGGTTCTTCAGAAGCTGCACGGATTTTCGGGCGGATCCGACGAGGATAATTATGCACTTGGATTGGACAGAGTCACCGACACGGAGATGTTCTTCCTGGTGTCCATGTACTTCTCCTTCCCTTACGGAGAAGGTGGTCCAGGAAGGTGCTTTGCATCAGGAATCCATTTCTGGATCTCTGATGCGTTGAACACTGATTCCGATTACTGTTTCAGATCTTTTGTCGCCAAATCCGCTGGAATCCGAACAATCGTCATGGTCCCGATGGATGGCGGCGTTGTCGAACTCGGTTCTGTTCGGTCTTTGCCTGAAAGTATGGAGCTGGTTCATTCTGTGAGGTCTTTGTTCTCGCCGAGGGCTCATCAAACGCCTACGTTTTTCCCACACGCGGGTGCAGTGGACAGAAACACGAGTGTTGCCGGAAACAAGACCGGAGGCGTCCACAAGCTTTTCGGACACGAACTGAGCAACTCGAACCACGTTCACGCCAATCCTCCGTGCAAAGAGAATGTTTTTGCCGGAAAGTTGGACGAGAGGTTTCCTCCTCAAGCTTGGGAAGCCCATCAAAGAATGAATGGATCTCAACCAACAGATACCAACATGCAAGGGCATGTCAGTGCATCTAAGGAAGATTCCCGATTAGACAACAATCACCAGAGTGAATTGGCCAGGGTAGCAGCCACTCCCGCGAATGCTATATCGGAAAATCAAGATTCGCGCGCGAAGAAAAGGGCGGGAGTAGCAGCAGCAGCAGCGGGGGCGGCGGCAGTTGACGAGAAAAGGCCAAGAAAGAGAGGTAGAAAGCCTGCCAATGGAAGGGAAGAGCCACTCAACCATGTGGAAGCTGAGAGGATGAGGAGGGAGAAGCTCAATCAACGGTTCTACGCCTTACGATCCGTCGTCCCCAAAATCTCTAAGATGGACAAAGCTTCTCTTCTCGGTGACGCCATTGCTTACATCAACGAGCTTCAGGAGAAGGTCAAGGCCATGAAAGCCGAGAGGACCAGAACAGGGGAATCAAACCCTAATCCAGATGTCGAGATCCAAACCCTGAACGGCGAGGTTGTCGTGCAGGTGAGTTCTCCATTGGATTCGCATCCTGTTTCAAGAATCATCCAAGCCATGAGAAGATCTCAGGTCAGGGTCTTGGAGTCCAAGTTATCGCCCATCGACAACACGGTGTTCCACACGTTCGTGATCAAATCAAATGGGTCGGAGCTGCTGACGAAAGAGAAGCTGATGGCGGCGATTTACCCAGAAACCGGCTCGGACGAGCCATCGCCGTCGTCTGGTTCGCAGGTTTCAGTGGCGTTGTAGTACAGAACTGAATCTCAGTTTGCATAGGACACTACTATACGTATATCAATAAGTTTTGAAATAATTTGTAACCATTTCTTTGATCCCACTTTGACATTCCAACTTTGTATTCTATCTTTTCTTGTAATGGTGCGCTGTTTTACGTTTCTCCTCCGTCCATTCCCAGGAAAATTATTTCACGTGAAGAATGTGCTTTTCATACGTGATATTATTATAGATGTGAGATGTGAGTAATATTTTCCTTTATTTCTGAAATAAAATATGAAAAATGAGGCCTAACAAATTATACACCACAGGTGGAAGTGGACGGCCCCATCTCTTTTTGTGCATTTCCTTAATCCTACACTGTTTTTTCTTCGCCGACTATTATTATTTGTAATTTTTTATTTTTAGAAAATGTGTCATATTAATTCTTTTACATGAATAATGTTCTGCAGCTGCAAGTTATCTTTGCATGTGGAGTGAAGCCAAGCCCCAAGAATTCTAACGTGTATTATGAGCGCATTAAAATAGTCACACGTAACTGAACACTAAAAAACGATATAATTATTTTACCAAAAAAAATTAATTTCATTATATAAAAAAAAAAGACAAGAAGAATAATGAGATACTGAAAAGATAAAGATGTAAAAGATAAGAGAAAAGGCCGAAAAACCCGTAACGCGAAGCAACAATAAGTTGGGCTTTTGATAGTTGGGCAAGTGCCCTACTACACGTACATCATATAATTTACTAATTTATTCTTAATTAATTGGCATAACAATTTCGGGATTCGTATTATTATATTTCGTTATCCCGGAAAAGTAGACGCCAAGACCGATCAGTCAACCGTTGACCCACCGGTCTTTGCTTTTTGTCCGTTGACAACAGTGATTGGTCGGATGACTTGGTCTGCTTTTAACTCGGTCTCCAACTGACCGAGTGCCTATTTATACGAACACATCCCCACACATCCCCAAAAACTCCTCACTTCATTCATTTCATAAGTAGAGGGAGAGATTCGTTCGAGTGGCCAGATGGAGGGAAAAGTCATAAATGCCCTTCACCTCTTATCGTTATCCTTCATCCTTGTCTTGTCTCTTCTTCCTCGCTCCTGGTCGCTGCCTTTGTACCCAGTTGACTCGCTCATCCACCCGCACACCGCGCCGGAGCAGCGATCCTTCCCCTCCGCCTTCGCCGTGATTCCCTCCGGTTCAAGGCCCTCACCGCTGGCAGCAGCCGCCACGCCGTGGAGACCACACTGAGTGACCCTCATCCGGAAGAGGGTTTTGATCTTGTCGGCGGTGAGTATTACACGCGGGTGAGCGTTGGAACGCCGCCAAGAGATGTCAACCTTATCATAGACACAGGAAGCGACCTTGTCTGGCTCAACTGCTCCGACACCTCCAGCTCTCTGGTCCGTATATCTCATGCCGGCACGACAGTTTGTGCCCTCTGACGCTGAATGCGGCCCCTACTAATTCAGTTGCCGGTACAATCAATCTTACGGCGACCAAAGCTTGGCGGAAGTGGATTTCTATCTCGAGGCATTTGCGGTAGGAGGCGTAAGCTCCCAACGCTTTAAATTGGGCTGCAGCCGACATGTAGAGAAAATGAACGAGAAGATTGATGGATTGCTTGGCCTTGGTCGTGGCCAAGGTTTATCGTTTCCATTACAGACTATGACCCAGATTGGCAGCGTCTTCTCCCATTGCTTGGCTGACAAGAAAAAGCTTTCCACAGTAGATTTCGGCCGAGATGTTATCATCCCAGGAAACACCCTTTTCACTCCGTTGATCGATGACGACAGTAACTACCGCGTGGAGCTCGCCGGAATCAGCGTCGGAGAGAAGCTAGTCTCGGGCAGCTATGGAGGAGGCAAGGTCATCGTGGATTCCGGCACGACGTTCACCACTCTCGTGGAGTCTGTGTATAAAAGGGTGTGGAAAGCGTTCGAAACTGCTTCCCCTGGTCTGAAACTTGTAAATGACCCCATGTCTGAATATCTGGAACACTGCTTTACTTTCTTGGGCGACAAGAAAACCCCGGGGATGGTGCTGCACCTCCCGGGTGCTGGCGTGGCACTCTCCCCTGAGAATTGCCTTGTTTCCGGTGAGAAACAAGGCACTTGGTGCTTCGCTTTCAAGCGGGTCGATGACGGTAGCCTGTCCATCATAGGGAACACACAGCTACAGGGGATTCGGGTCGTCTACGATCTGGCTCGGTCACGGGTCGGGTTTGCCCAAAATGCTTGTTAACGATTCTCTCGTTTTCTCCAAAGGGAAAGATGAAACGGAGACGAGATACATGAAGAAGACCTAGGGTTTGTCGTACTCGGGCGTTGCTTCCATTATGTTTTATTGTGGTTGATATAAGGCTTTTTGTTCTGGCAAATTTACATAAATATCCATCAGAAAGGGCAACAACATGCATCCATCATCCACGTTATTTTTGAGGGGCTGATTTGTCATTTAAAGATGAGATGGTAGGGCCCGTTCACATCAATATTTGGAAAGGCCTCATCGGCCATTTTCCAGGCGGAGGCAGAAATTGATGCTTAGATATGGTAGTCGGTGCATCGACTCAAGGGTTTTGACGCATATTATTCATATATTTTCTGTGAACTGCGACAAAAATTAAAACAAGATTATTTTCTAACACATGGGCCCATTCTTACGGGCCCTTTCTTATTCAATTACTTTTTTTTTTTGGGAAATTAAAAACTCGGAATTAAATAGTTTTAGGAGATGAGTATATTTTAAATTTTGGAAAGAAGAAATGATTGATCGGCCGATTCCGGTTCATTTCACGGCACCCTCTCTCTCTCTCTCTCTCTCTCCAGAGCTCACGAAGAAAAGTATATGTGTGTAATTAGCGTAGTCCATGAGGTTTGACCCATTTCCTCTTTGCTTGTCTCTTTCGGCTGAATCCTTCTTCTGGATCCGGGTCTCGCCCGAATTCGGGGTTCCCAAATGGCTTACCCATTGACTCGTTGAATTGACCTTCGTCCTGATCGAAGACAATAAATACCATCTTGGCCTAACCCCTGAAAATTTCGGATTCGAGCTTCGACGGAATCGGACAGAATGGAGTGTAATCCATCTTTGGAGGCGACGGACGATGAAGGGGTCCATCAGGATCGCCATCCGTACGCTTCGGCTCCGAAGCATCACAGTGATAACGGCGACGTGAATGCTGCAGGGCTTAGCACAACCAGCGTTCATGAACTCCTAGAATGTCCTGTCTGCACCAATTCTATGTACCCTCCGATTCACCAGGTTTGTTCTTCCATCCCGTTTTGCCTCGTTCTGATTTTGGTGTGTATGATTTGATTTGATTTGATTTGCCTGATCTTTCTTGTGTCGATTGGTTTGAGGGCTTTGAATATGTGGAATCAGACATTTAGGAAACTAATCCGTTTCAGAAGACGACATAACTGCCATATGACTTGCACTGCAGGGAACTACGCAATGATTGTCAGTTCTCGTTTTTAAGTTTCCATGGATAGAGTGTAACTGTGGCATTATGTTTCTTTATTGCATTTTTTTTTTCAGTTTCCTTGGTAATGGCCATGCACCTGTATATGGTCCTCCACTGTTATGGTTCCACTTAGCATGTGTCATGGATGGGAGCTTGAAGGTTCTATTCATGATTGATGACCCCAGTATGGGCTTGTAGATGCCATAGTTTGATCCAAATTCATTTATGAAAGAACTTGTTTTCTTTGCTCTGGCTTCCATCTCCAAATCTCTTCTTGTTTATTTCTCTGTCGACAAGAGAGGTTTATGCGTGATCCTCCTTCACAATGATTTCCTTTTCTTTGCAGTGTCTTAATGGGCATACTCTATGTTCAACCTGTAAAACCAGGGTCCACAACCGATGCCCGACTTGTAGACAGGAGCTCGGTGATATAAGGTGTCTGGCTCTGGAAAAAGTCGCAGAATCCCTTGAACTCCATTGCAGATATATGCATATTGGGTGCCTCGAAATCTTCCCTTACTACAATAAGCTCAAACACGAGAATGGATGTAACTTCAGGCCTTATAACTGTCCATACGCGGGATCTGACTGCTCCATCAGTGGCGATATCCCGTTCCTAGTTGCCCATCTGAGGGATGATCACAAAGTGGATATGCATTCTGGTTGTACTTTCAACCATCGCTATGTCAAGTCCAATCCCTGCCAAGTGGAAAACGCCACATGGATGTTGACTGTAAGTACATACTTGCCTCCCATATATAGTCATGATCTGTTGCAGTGCTCTGTTTTAAGGTCATAAGACCATTAGCGTCTGAAAAGCCTGATCTTTCTGACCGATCTTAGAGCAAATAAAAGGTTATGCCGAGTTATATTGTTTTCATATGCATCATCATATGCTCAAGCATCATGAGCTGACACTCGAGCTTGAGACCTCTTTTTTCTTTCACATAATACTAAACCAGACCCGCCTCTCTGTTTCTCTTTTTGGTTCGATACGGATAAGGTCTTTCACTGCTTCGGTCAATACTTCTGCCTTCACTTTGAAGCCTTCCAGCTTGGAATGGCTCCAGTCTACATGGCGTTTCTCCGCTTCATGGGCGACGAGACAGAAGCCCGGAACTACGGATACAGCTTAGAGGTGGGAGGGTATGGCCGGAAGCTAACATGGGAAGGAACGCCCAGAAGCATAAGAGACAGCCACAGGAAAGTGAGGGACAGCCATGATGGCCTCATCATACAGAGAAACATGGCCATGTTTTTCTCTGGTGGAGACAGGAAAGAGCTGAAGCTGCGAGTCACTGGAAGGATCTGGAAAGAACATCAGAACGCAGAAGCAGCTGTTGCTTCCAACATTCCAAATCTTTGTTAGCTGAAAGCCTGAAACATGGATTTGATCATTTGCAACCTCATTGACTTGTAATGGTCGTCCCTTCAGTTTTTTTTTGTCTTTCTCGTCCAACCTTTCTTGGAAAATCACACATTTCTGCTGTAAATCATAAGGTGATATATATAGTTCTAAAGAGTCATTTTATGTGCATTGTCTCCTGCTTTATGGAAACATGGATTAGGATCAAAGTAAAAGGAAACTGGAAACAGTGGAATATGTCACTGCCTGAAAAAGAATGTATCATAGAAATGACAAATGACTTCGCAGCATCTTTCACAGAACATGTCCAGAAAATGATAGAATGAGGGTAAAACACCATTTCAGACAAAGTTTATAGACAAACCCACCAACACTTTCACCATCTTCCTGTCCTTTTCATATGTACGGGTATGGATAATGGATTCACACCAACCCTACATTGCCCGACACTGAACGATCTTATCGAAATGATGATCCATCAGATCAGATAAGGTGTCGAGGAATGCAGCTTCGCTTGTGCCTGGGAGCAGAGAATCCTGAGCTTCTGATATCATCTCCTCCAGAAGAGACTCCTTGGTCAATGTTTCTCTGCACATTATGTTCCCAATGTCGAAAGCAGATAGTCCTCTTTCAACTCCTTTCTTCAGAAGCATGGTGGAGATTCGAAGTGTTCTGGCACACTCAAACGGTATGTTCCATCCATGGAACTTCAGAAGAGCAATATCTTCCTCTGCGTTCAATGATCTTATGTAGTCCATAGTCTCAGGAGAAAAGGGTTTTCTGGCTTGAGGCCAATAAAGCCATTCAAATGTGCAATCTTCAAACTGTAGATTAATATAGGAAAAAAAACATCAGTTTCATGTCAACAAACACTTTCAAGTCAGTGATGAAGCAGAGATGATTTAAGAATTGAAGTACTTACACTTTCAGGCAGGCAGTAACCGTGATCGATTGGAACCAGAACAGTCCTTCCATCTTCCTCCTTACTCATTAATATGTTCCCACCATGCCTATCCGTGTTTGCCAGTCTAATATCCAGCACAGAGATCTTATGCACTTCCTCAACCGGAAATGCAGCTGGACCCATATCTTCGCAACTGCCACTGTTCTCCATAAACATCTGTAAAGATCCCATCTTGGGTCTTATTCCTTTAGGATGGTTGAATCCATGATGAAGACATTTGATCATTGTTGTGGGAGGTACACCAGCAAAGCCCCTCTCTTCCCCGTACAAAGACCTGTGTCCACCTTTGGGATGATCCAAAATGTAAGCAGCAACTTCCCTCAGTGCCCCTTCTCCAACCTTTGTCCCTTTCTTCAAACCTTCGCCATTGGGTGAAGCCGGTAACCCATGAGGATTATTGACAGCCATTGGTTCCTCATCGATTGGCTTAAATACAGCAACAAACTTCCGGCCAGATGAATCCTGCATGAAATAAGCTCCTCCTGTGCCCTCTCTCGATCTGACTGGCGAGTTACCACTTTCCAGTCCATCAGAAGCAGACATTACCATTTCTGAGATCACCGAAGGTAACTTGGCCTTAGGATTAACAATGACTGGCTCCAATGAGAAGCGACGATCCGAAGGCTTCCTTGGCAGAACAATGCCATCAGCTTCCCCACCTCTCACACCGGTTTCTTCACTGACATCACGTTCTATCCCATTGGTCTTTTTAGGAATATCGCAAAATTTTCCATCATCCACTTGAGGGGCAACAATAGACAATTCGAAGTTCTTTTCCACAGGCCTAGGATGAACTTTTGCGGGTTTCCGCACCACCAGATGCAAAACCGAGTCATTGTTTCTACAGATGTTATCCACAAGCCTCTGGTCCTCCAGTTTCTCACCTTCGTAGAGAATTTCCTGTTCATCAGGATTATCAAAGTCTTTGCCTTTTCTTGCAATCTGCTTTTTCACATGCCCAATGTTTCTCCCCCTTTCCACATGAAACGTGTAGTGTTTCCCACTCGTGGTCCTAACATCGATGACCTGAAGATCAGAAACCTTGAGAACCAGATGCAGAATGTTTCCATCACTCACACCGTATTCCCGAATATTGGAATTGCTCCTCGCCAATTCACGGCCTCCGAAAACAAGCTTCTGATTCCTTACTACAAACCCACGATACGACTGAATCCTGAGCTTAACCGATTGGATTGAATCAGACTCAAGCACCCGCATTGGGATCACGGTTCCAGGGAGCGAAAGATAAACCAAAATGGACTCGTCCGGGTAGGGATCCGCGCAAGGATTCGCATGAACAAGGGGCAAAGGCGGCTCTCTACGAACCGGGCTTAGCGTAACACCAGCTGATGACATCTTTCGCCTAGGATTCGAGAAAAATCCGAGACGCAACGAACTTTAACGAGAAAAAAAAAGGAGCTTTGTACAGAAATTCCGCAATCTACAGAGCAACAATCTTAAAATTCCAAATCCATGTCTTCTCCTTCCCAGAAACAACAAAGCCTAGAAAGAACAGACCAAATCCAGGAATCAGGGGTGGATAGCTACAGGGAGTCTCATCAACGGCGATCAAATTTCTCAGGGCGACCGAGAAAAAAAAGAGAAGAACGAATCGATGCGCAACATAAAAGGAGAGCGGATTCTTACCAGGAGGAAAGAACCAAAGGAGAAATGGGGACAAGAACAGGAGCTTTATCCACGATCCAATTATAGCAAAATCTGAGAGTTAGGGTTAACCAATGGCGTAAAAGACGTTGGCAGCTCGGGAAACCAGGGGCGAGAGTTGGAAAGGGAAGAAGGGAAAAGCTGTTGATTCCGGACACGTGTCGCCGTCTTGGATGCGTAGATGACGCGTATCGAACATTTAAGAATACATTTCATTGGTCAATAGGGAACAGCGTTTTAGTTTGATTTTTTTAACCGTACAATACGGTGATTAGATTTGTTTTAAGTGGCAAGCAAGTCAGAAGATCTAGGGGCAAAGACGTAAATTCCAACTTCATCTTTTGATTGGATCATCAAGCATCATCATCAACACATCAGTCAAGCGGCCCCCCGCCCCAGAAAAACAAACCGATAACCGGATACCGGCTTGCTTAATCGTAACCTAACCGGTAACTCACAGTGCACAGACTTGAACCGGGAAGAAGTCGTGATAACATTCATCAGTACTAAACCGATTGAATTGAAGTAACCGAACCGGTCACTGAAACCAACCCCTACAGCATAATGAATGAAGACAGAGGTTTACAAGAAAGGGAGCCAAATTCTAACATAGAAACCCTACTCCATAAAGAACTGGAGATAACTTAAGACAGATGAAACTCTCAATTCGTGTTCTAGGCAATCACAAAAATGGAGTTCCTTTATGGGTGAAGACCATATATAATACAACATGAATCTTGTTGGCCAATACCAAATGAACAAAGGCCAATAATCAAAGCATGGGGAAGGTTTGAACAAAAGAGATGGATCAGGGAATGAGGCAGCCTTGGCAACAGAAACAAGCAACCAAAATACCGAGCACTGCTCCAGCAAGAACCTGCGAAGGAGTGTGGCCGAGCAGCTCCTTTAGCTTCCTCTGACTGATGGGGTGCCCCTCGAACAAATCCCTTATGATCAAGTTCAGTACCTGTTTCCACATTCACGGTTATGCATCTGAAAACTTCACACACCCTTTTCTTTTCCCCAGATAAAAGGGTTTCACTCTCTTGGCTTCATCGTAGGAGCAGATTCATTTAAACCTCGAATCTTTCGAAATACAACAGAGAGCACTACAGAAGTGGCAGTCCACCCATCTATTGGTACTTGATGCTCATCAGCTTATTCTTGGACCAACACTAATGAATGAAGTGTATCAAGTTCATAATAATCTCAGCCATGCAGAAAATTGCACTACAAGCCCTTATGAAACTGAAATCTGACACAATGTGGTGGAAACAAGACCTGGCCTTTGCATATACAACTTCCACAAGCAACCCATGAATTCACCAACTTTGTTTTAACTTAGAACCGGATAAAATAAAGATTGAGCTAAAGAGCTTGGAGCAAAATTAGCCACCAAATTAACATTTTTTTAGTGTGTGAGAACTATGATTATCAGTGTTCCTACATGAAACAGAAAGACAAAACCAAAGAAAGGAATATTGGTACAAGCAGCATTTTCATGATTTGGCCAACCATCCTCTCCCCTATTTGTACGAACTCGTACATGGAGTCTCACGTAAATTTCGACCAGAAATCATTACCAACTCCTCCATTATGAGATAGTAACCAATAGCTGAAGCTCGAAAGTTCAGAACTCGAATGCTTGACCACAGTCATTTGACGAAAATGAACATGAACATGAACATGACCCAGCGAAACAAAAGGACACCAAAATCAGACAGAAAGCCAAACCGATGTCTTTACCTCAGCTTGCATGCCGGCGTGGCGTCTGACGCCGATGGCATCGTACATGACGATTAGACTAAAGCCCAAGCAGACGGGAAATAACGAATCTGCCACTCCATGGCAGAGAGCCACGGAGGTCGTCAGAGCCATACAGAGAGCCGAATGAGACGAAGGCATTCCCCCAGAGGCGAACAGTATCCGGAAATCCCATTTTCTCTCCACGAAGAAATTAAGAAACACTTTGATGGATTGAGCTACAAACCACGCGACGAGACCCGACACGAACGTCGGGTTAGCCGCGAGAGTCGCCACGAAGGGACTGATCTTAACCTTGGCACTCGCCGTCACGCTCAGGAGCGCCGTACCGAATCCGCCGTGCTTCTCCCAATCTCCGGCGAACTGCTCCGAGAACGCCGCCGTGTCGTCCCTGTAAGCTTGAGAACGGGAGACCCATCTCTGGGATTGAGACGAAGCGAGCCCCTTGATTCTCCGAAAGATTGAGCGCAAAATCAAATAGGGGTTTATTCGTAGAATACGATTCGTGCCGTAATCAGGCTGAGGGCATATGGGATTGGAATGGGGTTTACAGCAGAAGGAGACGGTGGAAGCTTCGAATCTGTTGATAGAAGTTAAAAAGAGAGGAGATGGGTAGAAAGAGGTGAACGTGGGTTTCAACGTAAGCGAGTCCATGGGAGATCGCAGAGAAGCTTCAGCTCATACTGCGTCATCCAACAGAGAGAGCGAGAGAGAGGGGGGATGGATGTGTGTGGAGACTTGGCGAAGAAAGATTGGCGTCCGTTTCTGTATGCGTATTTTTTTGTTTGTACAGTTTCTTTATTTGAATTGGTATCATTGAAGATCAACTTTCCCTTTGTCTCCTAAAACAATCCATATATATATATATATACACAATAACAAGGATTTTATTGCAAACTTTTTGCCTTTTGTAACACAATCAGTATTTGTATGGTAGTCTAACCAAGCAAAAGAATATTAGAAGTCGTGTGGTGGAGGAAGAAGTGTAATTTCTTTCCCCCCAATATTACAAAGATGCCATTGGAGTACCTTGGAACAATCAGGGAATATACCCACCTTGTTGAATTCAAAAAATTCAAGACTCTTTTGAGTATGTGTAGACCGCTCCCTGATCCAAATGAAATCCAATGCCCATGTATTAATAATATTTGGGTTTTGGGCCTTCTCAAAAAAAAAAAAAAAAAAATGGTAGAGGCCTTGAGTCATTCTTTCTTTATATTCATTGGACCTCTAAGATTGAGAACAATCTACAACTAAAATAAAAAAATAAAGTACAGAATGGAGGTGCGGGGAATCGAACCCCGTGCCTCTCGCATGCGAAGCGAGCGCTCTACCATATGAGCTACACCCCCAGTGGTTGGAATTTCTTTTCAGATCATAATTTGGGTTTGCTTTTCATATCTCTCTAATCATTCTCACTGCAGATGGGACACATGACCTATCTCTGTTTACTTTTCAGGCTATAGAATCAGCCAAATAAACACTCAGACGTATGATATAATTACAACTTGTATTTGTTTATCATCTGCTACACCTACCGAGAGAATCGTAAGTCTAACTCAAATAAGATGTAAATCGGTACACCAATTTATTGCCACTCGTGAGATTTTCTGTCGGTACACGTGAGAATGAGATGCTTTCCTCCAAGAATTCTGCCTTTTTTTTTCTTTTTTTTACCATGCAACAAATAGAGCCAGAGAGACAGGAGATGACCAGAGAGACATCAATGTCCGGTAATGAATCAACGAAAGATCACCTTTCAAGATCCATCCCGATGAAGATGCTGATTATGATTGCCCTCCATCTTCACCCACCTTCACCACACCCATTATCATCACACCCTCACCTTCTTCTTCTTCCTCAAGTGACCGACACTTCTTAACCACCAAAAATCCAGCAAAAAGTCCCTTAATTTTTCTCCCCACTTTAATCTTCACTTCTGACTCTGTTTCCGCCATGGAAGATTCTAGTTTTCGAGCGAGAATCCTAGCTGGGTTCTACATCTTATCTCTTCTCCTCGGACTCGAGCTGTCTCTTGTAGTTGCAGATGATGTCAATGGCGGAACTGGAGGATCGTACGGTCAGGATTCGACCCAGAATCCTCAAGGAGACAGTGTGGGATACGATCTCTGTTCTTCCAATCAATTGTCGAGTTTTCTTCCTCCCCCTTACAGCAATATCTCCGACACCATGCCATGTAAGCCTCTCTGGAACACATTCGTGTTACGGGTAAGATCCCAATCTCTCATCACCTAAAAAAGACTCAATCTTTTTGCACACCCACGATTCCGATTCCGATTTCGTTTATCTGTGACAGTACTCAGAGACCAAAGACAATGTAATGACAGTCATACTATCAGCTGTGTACACGACAGGGTGGGTCGGGATAGGGTTCTCGAGAGACGGTAGAATGGTAGGGTCGAGTGCGATGGTCGGGTGGATAACGAAGAAGGGTCACGCCAGGATCAAGCAGTACTATTTGCAGGGAACGGAGAAAGACCAAGTGGTGCCTGATCAAGGCGAATTACAACTGGAGAAAGTCCCACCAGTGGTGGCTCTTCACGGAGCAATGATTTACTTGGCTTTTCAGGTGAAGCTCGCCACCAGAATTCCCCGACGTCCGTTGATTCTTGCCTTCAGTATGGCTTACCCTTCGAAGCTTGGCCATTTGACGAAACACGACGATAAGACGACAGTTTTCGTGGATTTCTCTAAAGGTAGAGAGATTTTTGGTGGAATGTGTATGCATATATGTAATGGCATTTGTGTTTATTGCTCGGAGAATTTATGTTTTGCGGCTTCTGCAGCTGGTGGTGTATCTGTAGTTCCGGACAAGGGTTCGAGTAAGAAGAGGGATCACGGGATATTGGCGATTTTCGGGTGGGGGCTGTTTCTTCCCCTAGGGGCAATCCTCGCGAGATACCTCCGACATAAAGATCCGTTGTGGTATTACCTTCATGCTGTTGTCCAGTTCATCGGCTTTGTCTTCGGCCTAGCTGCTGTTCTTCTCGGGTTACAGCTTTACAACAGAATCAAACCCGATATACCTTCACACAGAGGCATTGGAATATTCCTTCTAGTCCTCAGCATCCTCCAGGTTTGGCCTACGACTTTATCCCTTTTTCCTTTAAGATCAGACCCAGAATCTGCAATAGCGTACAGACCAAGTATATATCGTATACTTTACCCTTGAAAATTGCTTTGAGGCATATGGTCTTGGTGTTATAGACTTGTCCACCAAGCAAAGATTCTGACAGTGACAGACCCTTAAAGGAAACTCCTCTTTGTTAACATTACCACAAAAAAAGGCAAACGTTTTTGGCTAAGGAAACGGAAACGGATTTCAGGTTTTGGCATTCTTTCTGAGGCCTGAGAAAGAGACAAAGATGAGAAGATACTGGAACTGGTATCACCAATGGACAGGGAGGATCTCCCTCTTCTTTGGAGCTCTGAACATTGTTCTCGGGATCACGCTTGCGAACGCAGGAGATAGCTGGAAAATCGGCTATGGATTCCTTCTCTCCGTGACGTTGCTCTCTTTTATCGTTCTTGAAGTACTCAGAATCCGAGGCTCTATCGGTTCTTCCTCGTCTTCTGGCTCTGATCCCACGTTTCGGATGAACTCAAACACCATATGATTCAAGATCTTGTGTTCCTGTCCGATTGATTCTTCTTGGTTTTTGCTTCTTGAATGTTTTTTCTTAAATCTTTTTGGTTTCTTTGTATATATAATTGGCGTTTTTGTTGTTTTGGTTTGTTTGTAATTCTCTCGACTCTAGTGTTGGGATTTGAGGTTTTGATGGCTGAGGCAATGGCCAATGGATTCCCGTTGTTTTCCGGTTATTGACATGGAAAACTTCCAACTCAGCCAGAAGGTTTGCCCTGATAAAATCATAAAATATAACACTAAAGGACGTTTAACCAAACTAGGAGGCTTAACAAAACTACCTAACTATTCTCCCAATATTCTAATCCATATCTGAAATTGTAAATATTCCAAAAGTAACAAAACCCTAGATTGTAAAAAATAAAATAAAAAACTAAAAAAACGTACTATATCCAAAACTCATTGAATCAAATTAGAAATACTCGAACTAAATAATCGAAATATCGAACTAACTACATATTTACGGAAAAAAGTTTCATAGCCGTATTAGAATTCATCTAGATATCTGACTATGATTATGATTTTTTTAAATTTATTTATATAAACCTTAAAAAATATTTCCGCTTGTTTTCTATAGCCCCTGTTATGATAATTAGATCTCGAATTATTTACTATGAACCACAAAGAGTGTAAGAAAAGACTTCATGATGCGGTCATAAAATAAGAGAAAATTTCATAATGTGGTCATAGGTTAAATATCATTCATTGATTAAGAAAAATTTAATACCTAAAAATGCTTGAATTCACAGCAATAGATTAGTGGTCATGGAGATATGTAAAATAAAAATAAATAAATCAACACAAGGTAATTTGTTTTTGGTCAAATTGAAAAATTAATATACTAACATGGAAACATAAATCAACATGTCCTGTCATATGTTAGAAGCTCGACAATGTATTTTTATTTATTTATCAAGGAATTTCTCCCGAAAGTTTTCGACTTGGCGCTTCCGCACGGCCGAAATTCGTACGCTTCCCTCCACGCCCCGAAATCCGTGGAGCCAAAAACACTGTTTCATCCATGCCACGTCATCAACACTCGATTTTTATTATACTTTTTTTGTTTGATCTTATATGTATTTCATAAAATATTTGACGTAACCGTCTTTAATTAAGGAAAAATATTTTGCGTATATATATATAAAGCGATGGTTCTTCTCCTTCCACAACACAAACCCCACATAGATCCTTCTTCTTCTCCTCCTCCTCCTCTTCCCCATCGCCGTCGATTCCGAGGAGCTACGTTCTGTCGTCTCGTCCGGAAACCAGTTGATTTTCTTGGGGATTCGGAGATTGGTCAGTTCTCTTTCGCTTCGCGGATTTAGATTCGCAATTTCTTCTGTCGGAATTCTTCACGCTCTGTGCCGTCCGGGGGAGGACTGGGGAAACGTGCGAGTTCCGCGGGTTTTGATTTCTGTTTGGATTTGGGGCTGGAGCCAGGGTATCGCATTCGGTTCTCCGGGTCTTTTTGTCTGATAGATACGAGTTTCCAGAGTAATTGACGAGTCTCACGTTTTTCCCCCCGTGAATCGCGAATCGCGATACTTCAATTTTTGTGTTTGGTGAAATTAGGGTTTTAGAATCTGAATCTGAATGGTCGCTTGCGTTGAATTGTTTCGAATAGGCAAGAATTAGGATATGATTTTGAATCGGACCTTGACATTTGAGAATCAGAATCTGAAGCGGTGCAAAATTGAGTCGGAAATTGCTTACGAAAGCAAAAAGGACGAATTTCGGGTGTATAAGAAGCGGCAGAGGGCAAGCGGGTATCACCCGTGCCGAGAACCCGACGATCTCACCAGTTGCTCAGGTTCCTTGACCAGCGAAGAAGGATCTCAGCTGGGCTCCTACAAGTCTGCTCCATCGGTGTCTAAGTCATCTCGTGGCAGAACTCGAGCTGTCCCCTCGAGGTTCAACGATACGGTTCTCGATGCATGGAGAACTAGACGTCGCAAACACGAGTATTCAAATTCGAGTTATGACGATGATGTATATTTGGAGAAGAAGGATGAGTGCAATGGTAAAAGGGTTAAATTTGGAACCCCGAAATTTCATCCCAGCGAAGGCTCGAAGCCATACCAGTGCAGGGATAATGGAGAGACTGGCGAAATTGATTTTGTTGGTTTTGACGATTGGAATAATGGAAAGGACCGGAATTTCCAAAGTTCGAGAACATCTTTCTCCGATGACTCTAGTTCTCTATCTGCTAGAGGTGAAGAACGACGTTCTTCAGGGCGTAACCTGGCTGAATCAAATACGCTGGTGAAAAAAGGCGCGGTCACACGGAAGGACGTGTACAAGCCTGAGGACTTTGCCGTGGGCGATCTTGTCTGGGCCAAGTGGGGGAAAAAATACCCAGCTTGGCCAGCGGTGGTTATCGATCCCACATCGCAAGCTCCAGACATAGTCTTGAAACATTATGTTCCGGGCACTCTCTGTGTCATGTTTTTCGGGTACTCAAAGAATGGAACCCAGAGGGTAATATGCTGATCTTTTTAGTTTCTGTGTTATCTTTAAGCTTGCGTCTGGTGTATTTATTTTGTCTAATAATTCTCTGAAACGACTGGTGATTGACAGGACTATGCTTGGGTCAAACAAGGAATGCTATTTCCGTTTGCAGAATTCATGAACAAGTGCGTTTGATTTAGATGTTTTTTTCCTGATATCGCTGGTGTTTGTCTCAAAGAAACATGCTTACTCTTTTATTTCTTCAGATTTCAGGGACAGACAAACTTACATAAGAGCAAGCCGAGTGATTTTCAGAAGGCAATTGAGGAAGCTGTTTTAGTGGAAAATGGGTTTGCAGAAAATCATGGGAATGCTGAAATAAACAACCCAGAAACTGCCCTTAATTGTTCTGATAAAGAGAATGGGTCTGCTCCGGTAAGTTCTAGGCGCACTTTCCTGTAGTTCTTCCAAGTTTAAGGGTCTGAATTGAAATGAGATTGGCAAAACAAATCTATTGGTGATAGATTCTCTACTTTTAAGCTTTCCAGTTATAGTCAGTCCTGTATAATTTGGTACACTAGGAAATTATTATTGACAAGCGCTATGTCTGGCAAGTACTTTCCTATCTATAGTTCGTGGAGGCATCATCAATGTTGTGGATATAGTGTTGGTATCTTACTCTTTTATGATGCTCGGAAATCCTTCTCTTTCAATGATACACTGATCGGCTATTTTGCGCAGGGTTCATGCCATGTGGACAAGAAGCCTTGTGACAGCTGTGATTCAGCAATTCCGTTCAAATCTCTGAAGAAGACAAAGGGCTCAAAACGTGAAGAGTTTTTATGCAAATATTGTTATAAGGTTTCTAAGAATAATATTTTTATTCTTTTGTCTTATGCAAACATAAATTGACGTTAAATTTGTTGCTGCAGTTACGAAAATCCAATCAGTATTGTGGAATTTGCAAGAGAATATGGCATCCTACAGACGGTGGAGATTGGGTAAGAATATTGTAACCATGTTAGACAAAATTCTAATTTCAATGATAAATCAATTGGTACTATCCGTTTTGCTGACTTGATCTAATGCTTCAGGTGTGTTGTGATGGGTGTAATGTATGGGTACATGCTGAGTGTGACAACATTTCACATGACTTTTTTAAGGTCTGGCTATTCATTTCTTTGATACTGTTTTTGGTTCATCCTTATGCATCTTACACATGATATCTAAGAAGGGTTCTTTTACCTGACAATAATCTGAAGGACTTGGAGAATGTTGATTACCATTGCCCGGATTGCAGAGCCAAGTGTGAGTCTGCACCTAGAATTTTAGAAGAAAGGAATGCAGTGAGCAAGTATGATTTCCATGTCTGATTTTCTATCTTTTAGCCTATGTAAATGAAATGCGTGTTGCGCTGCAGATATTTTTTGCATTTATGAAGGGCAGCCAGGTGATCAGTAAATTTTTAATCTGTTAACATTATTTTGACAACCTTCTGAGACAGGTCTGCAGGAAGAATTACACAGACTGAGGTGCCTGATGGGATCACTGTGGTCTGCAATGGCATGGAGGGAACATATATTCCAAAACACCATGTGTAAGTCTAGGTTTGCTGTTTGATGTGTCAGTCTTATTTTCCTTGATACTGTTTTTCAAATAAAATTTAGTTTATTTGTAGAAAATTAGTTTTTGAACAAAGTATACGCTTTTTGGCTTTATCTCTTTCAAAATTTAGTCCTTTCTAAAACTGTAATTTTTTTTTGCTTTGTTCTTGGCTTCTGTTATCATCTTCTATGCTTCTTTTTATTTTTTGTGATGAGACCAACATATTTGCCCTGGAACCATGTCTTCAGAATTGTGTGCAATTGTGGTTCATGTGGATCAAAAAAGCAGTCACCAAGTGAATGGGAAAGGCATACAGGGTGCAGAGCTAAAAAATGGAAGTACAGCGTGAAAGTCAAGGACACGACACTGACGTTAGAAAAATGGGTGCGTCCTTCATTCTTTCTCAGCTATACCATGTTGTGTCTTACATGTAATGCCTCTGAAATCCTCATGCAAAACGTTGGAAATGCTAGTCAGATTCTTTTGTTGGGAGCTTCTTCTTCAAACTGCACTTTTCTTAAGTATGAGATTTATGTTCATTTTCTCCACCTTTCTAATGTATGAGATTTTATATTTGACAATGAGTTACTGCAGATTGCGGAGTTTAGTCCCGAGATCCTAGAACCCCAGAATTTAGATAAGGAGAAGATCCTCTCTTTTCTAAAAGGTCAATTCCATTTTAACTATTTTCTGAATGGAATCCATTCTTATTCTTTTAAAAGTCTGGCATGCTTGCTTACTTTTTATTTTATTGTCACAGAAAAGTATGAGCCAGTCAGTGCAAAATGGACGACAGAGAGGTGTGCTGTCTGTAGATGGGTAGAAGACTGGGAATATAACAAAATGATCATCTGTAACAGGTTGCTTTTATGGATTAGGTTTTACTAAGTTGTGTGGCAAGGTTTTGACTGAACCTGAATTATAAATACATAGATGTAATGAAGTAATGCTCATTTCTTCAGATGTCAAGTAGCAGTGCATCAGGAATGCTATGGTGTAAGTAAAACCCAGGACTTCGCGTCTTGGGTGTGCAGAGCCTGTGAAACACCAGACATTGAAAGAGAGTGTTGTCTGTGTCCTGTTAAAGGTACCACTCCAAAACTCGTTCTCTATGTTATATTGAGTAATCTTCTATAAAAATGTCAGGTTAAGTATCCCCCCTCTCTCCTAGATTCTTCCGTTCTGAGTACAGGGGTGCTGTAAATTCCCTCGTCTTCTGTCTCTTTTGTGATTCTCCTGAAATTTATTTGGACTTCCTCTCCCATTTATGCAGGTGGTGCTTTAAAACCTAGTGATGTTGAGGGTCTGTGGGTTCATGTAACATGTGCTTGGTTCCGACCTGAAGTTGCGTTTTTGGATCATGAAAAGATGGAGCCTGCTGTTGGACTTTTTAGAATTCCATCAAATTCATTTCTAAAGGTACATTGAAATGGAGGAACTAGTAGTACTTTTTGAATCCGTTTTGTAGTATTTGTCATTGAAGCAGTTTTGATATTTCTGAATCTATTTTGAATTATATGGAGTATAGGTTTGCACAATCTGTAGACAGACCCATGGTTCATGTGTACATTGCTGCAAGTGTGCGACCTACTTCCATCCAATGTGTGCATCACGGGCAGGCTACAACATGGAGGTTAGTTCTGAAACTGCTCCATGTAAATTCTTTGTTGTGCACGTGATAAGTTTCCTTTTCATATCCATTCGTATAAAAGTTGTTCCATTTTATAGTTGAGTGTCTTAAGGGCTGTGTGATTGAAACTGTTTTGTGTTGAATTGTCAGTTGCACTGCCTGGAGAAGAATGGTTTACAGAGAACAAGAAAGTCGATCTACTGTGATATCCACAGGTTCTAATCTTCCTGGCTTGCTTTCACTGAGCTTCTTCTATGTGATATTGTGATACGGTGCGCTCTGTATTTATCTCTGTTCTCCCATTTGTAGGAAGCCAGATCCAGATAGTGTTGTAGTTGTACACACACCCTCAGGAGTCTTTGGTTCAAAAAATTTGCTTCAGAACCAAAATGGGAATTTCAGGGGTTCACGTCTTGTTTTGACTAAGAAGATAGAACTTCCAGAATCCCAAATCGAACCCCAATTGGAACAGACACATGAACATGATTCTCTTTCTGCTGCTAGATGCCGTATCTATAGTAGATCAAGGACTAAGGTATGCATCTTAGAATGCCTTGAATTCTTGTACACTTGCCTTGGTTGTCCCTAGTATGATGAATTTAATGAAATACAAATGTAATAAAATTTCTCGTCCCTATTGGTGCTGTTGCTCCCCAGAGGATAGATCAGGAGAGAATATTCCACAGGCCGAAGGGACCAAGCCACCATTCTTTAGATGCAATAGAAAATCTGAACTCTTTCGAGGTAGCTGTCTCTTCCAGTGCTCCACTTATTTTTGTGTTTTGCATTTGTGGGAGAAAAAAATTTTCTGGTTTGGTCAACAGCTCTTTGATTCACCTACTCTTTTTTTTTTACCCCAGGAAGTGGATGGTTCAGAATTTCCTTCATTCAAAGAACGGCTTAGGCATCTGCAGGTAAATATAGTTTTTTGAGTTTTTAATCTTTGACAATATGGTTAAGATCTCATATATTATAAAATTGTAAAGTTTGCCTGCATCTCGATGGGGTTTAGTTCACACCATCTCTTGAATCTAAAAAGTTATGCTATTCTTCAGAGAACAGAAAATCATCGGGTGTGTTTTGGTAAATCTGGCATACACGGATGGGGCCTCTTTGCAAGGAGAAACATTCAAGAAGGAGAAATGGTACAGTATTGAATCTGTGTAATGTTAACTCTTTTAGAAATATTCTTCAATTAAACTTGTATTATTCATTTTGATTTCCACCGACATGGAATCAGAAGAATTGAGATTACTTATGCAGTAGCAAATTTTTTTCAGATAATCGAGTATCGTGGGGAGCAAGTTAGGAGAAGTGTGGCAGACCTTAGGGAGGCAAAGTATCGATCCGAAGGCAAGGATTGCTATGTGAGTTTGTTAAGAAATGGGCATCGTAATGCTTTTTAGCTTTGTTTAGTATATTGCTCCTTAGGAGGTTGTTAGTTATTGACAATGCATCACTGGAACTTAACTTGTGGCATGTATCTGCTTCTGGGAAAGTTAAAATTTTTATATGATGGTTGAACGCAGCTATTCAAGATAAGTGAGGAGGTGGTGATAGATGCCACAAACGCAGGCAACATAGCACGATTGATCAACCATTCAGTAAGCTTCTTCCTTTTCCTCTTCCTTTTAAACCACATACCTTACCTCTCATGTCACCATGTGTATAATAGAGCTTTAACCAGCTGAGGGTGTGTGTGTGTAGTGTATGCCGAATAGCTATGCACGCATAATGAGCGGAGGCGATAGAGAGAGCAGACTTGTCCTCATTGCAAAGTCCAATGTCTCTGCTGGCGAGGAGCTCACGTAATTCTTCTTCTTTCCTTAAGACCGTCTCTTCCTCATCGTTCGTTATTGATCCGTGGCTGAATTCTATACTACTAACCAATACCTCAAAACAGGTATGATTATCTGTTCGATGTGGATGAATCCGAAGAACTCAAAGTGCCTTGCCTTTGCAATGCTCCCAACTGCCGCAAGTTCATGAACTGATCTATTTTTGCTAACCAAGTCCAACTGGAATCCATCTCCCCTTATTTGTTCCTTTCCATTCTTTACTTAACATTGAAATTGTAAATTTCTTTCACTTCATCTTCTTCTAGGATACAGGAACATCTTTACAGAGATACTTGCATTTTGATATATGCACCCCAAAAAAAAAAAAAAAAAAAAAAAAACCCCCACATCTTTACTGTATAGTAATCTCTTTTTTTTTTTCAAGTTTCTTTCTTTTACCCTCAGTTTTTCTCTGATCTATCGTTTTATTAATCTGTCCCTTCCTTTTTTAACTCGTACGAATAGAAAAATGTCCGGTGTGAATATATGACGTTCGTTATTGATCCGTGGCTGAATTCTATACTACTAACCAATACCTCAAAACAGGTATGATTATCTGTTCGATGTGGATGAATCCGAAGAACTCAAAGTGCCTTGCCTTTGCAATGCTCCCAACTGCCGCAAGTTCATGAACTGATCTATTTTTGCTAACCAAGTCCAACTGGAATCCATCTCCCCTTATTTGTTCCTTTCCATTCTTTACTTAACATTGAAATTGTAAATTTCTTTCACTTCATCTTCTTCTAGGATACAGGAACATCTTTACAGAGATACTTGCATTTTGATATATGCACCCCAAAAAAAAAAAAAAAAAAAAACAAGACCCCACATCTTTACTGTATAGTAATCTCTTTTTTTTTTTCAAGTTTCTTTCTTTTACCCTCAGTTTTTCTCTGATCTATCGTTTTATTAATCTGTCCCTTCCTTTTTTAACTCGTACGAATAGAAAAATGTCCGGTGTGAATATATGAACAGCCACTTTACAAAATCAACTTCGGCTTTAACTCTCTTTTTATTAAGAAAAAAACCCTCAACTTCGGTTGACACTGACAGGAAGTAGCGGAGCTCCGTTAAGGCTCGGTGCAGAGGGCATATACGTCAATTTCCTTTTCTAAAATTCATATTTGTAAAATTGTCGTCCTTCGCGCGTGTATTTAGTCGCTGCCAAAAGATTTCAGAGCTCCTACCAAATTCGAATCACTTCTTTCTCAACAAACTAGAGAGATTTAGAGAGAGACAGAATGAAGAGGAGAGCAGGTGAGAGAGAAGCAGAGAGCAGAGGGAAGAAGATAATGGAAGAAAGCAACGCAGAGAGGATCGGGAAAAGACTGAGAGGAGGCAGAAGCATCCATGGCTGCGTTTCTCCTCGGTGTTCTGCTTACACACTCCGATCCAGCTTCTCATGGTATTTTCTCTCCCTTACTCGCAGTTTTCAGGTTAATGTACGAAATTCATCTCTAGATGTCTCCCGCTGCTGTTTGGATTTCTCCTTTTTTACTGTTATGCGAAGTTGATTCGATCACGCATTTCATTTCATTCCTAAACTTATTTGTATCTCAATCGTAGATTTCCAATGCCAATTTAAATATGCAATCCTTTAGGCGAGGTTCCTGTTAGCGTTCCTAATTGGTTCTCTCCATCTCTACTTCTTTGCTCTGCCAAAAAAAGGTTTGAGCAGGATATATGGACATACATTGCGAGATTTTTGGATGGAAAGTCACTGGTGATGCTGGGAGCAACAAGCAAGTGGTTCCATACAGTCATTATGGAGGAGGATGTGTGGAAGTTTGCGTGTCTGCGTGATCTTCAGGTTCCGCAGCCGTGTCCTGTCTCTTTCAGCTGGATCAATATATATGCTTCAGCATTTGGTGAGGATAATGTCCACATCAATTTTCTACCTGCATTCTGGTGTATAGTGATAAACTAAGAAGTGATAAATGGTCACTGCAGATGGAAGTCACTCTTATTTGTTCCGCCAGAAGGAAAAGCATATTGGTCAGTTCTGTTACATTGGTGAATTTGCAAGTCCTGTCTCGCTGAATCATGATAATATATTGTCGTCCGTGTTTGAATTTATTTCTCCTCACACCTCTCTTCATCTGATCTTTACCCTGCAAAATTCTAGATTGGATGCGGATTGGTGCCTTTACACTCGGTTCTAAAGTATCACTCCTGACTGAGAATCTGAGAGGTCTGAGGATCCCTAAGGAAGGAACCATAGACATGATGTTGCAATCCTGTGGTTCGTGTGTTATAAAAAATGTGAAAACTGGTATCTGGATTGCAGGTCAGAAAATTTCCTTCACCCATATCTTCTGGCACTTTTAAAGTTTCCCTGAAAAGATTCCAGTTCTAACTTGATTTGTAAAATTCTTCAGATCTACAGCTAGTTCGTTGCCCTGTTTGCGACCTCAGCTCCTGTGATGGTAAAATGCCTCTAAGGAACTTATATTTGTCTTGGAAAATTTGATAGAAAAACCTTGATTTTCACTTATGCTGCAAGAAACATTTTTGCAACAGAAATGAGTTTCTGTTCATTGTGCAGGAACTATGCAAATGCTGGATGCTAGACATGTAGAGCTGTTCCTTAACGGGGGCTACAAGGGTGGTAGCTGGGACTACAATCTTATTGGATCTCACAGGATCCAGAAAGACGTGGGTTCAGCTTGTGGGGCCATTTTTGATCTCATTCACCTTAAAGAATCTTCATCCTCCGGTAAAATTTTGCAAGTTTGCTCTCTTCTTTGCTGGCATATTATTAATCTTTTGGTGACATAGTTTGACATGCCTTTGCATTTGGGTTGTAACTTTAAAGGTATCTTCAACCTCAAGTCCTGGACCGGAAACTCGAATGATTCCCAACCCAAAGCAGTTATTGCACCCCGTGCTGTTGCTGTTCAGACAAGATTGCAAGAAAACGAAGGTATATATACACATAAATAACTGTTTTTGCTAATCCTTTTACATATCAGTTTTTGCGTAATCAACAGCCACCCGCCAATCTGTTTTTTTTCTGTCCGAGGCTTTTCGATTACAATACGTTTTTCTCTGATGCAGGAATTCTCGTGAACTATCACACGATGAGAGCAGGAAAAGATGGGGACGTTGTTTCCATCAGAATCTCCCAGCAGCTACTCTGATTCTTCTCATACATCAACCAACCTTCAGAATGTAAAAGCTCCTAGCTTCTCTGGTATGCAATTTCTCCCCCCCTCTGTTCTTCCTATTTGCTAAGATTGTCATTGAATGGTTACAGAAATCTCTGTATGAGAGATCATGTCATTGAAGTATATATAGTAAGATGCCTCCATTCAATCTCATCTAGTGTTTGATCCACATGATGGAAATGTGGTATATAATCAAATTCAATCTTAAATCCTCAGGCTAATATACTATTAAACAATAGATAAAGATGATTATCAAACGATAAAAAGAAAATGCATAATATATGTCTCTGACTTTTTATTAATTTAATGTCAAAGCATCAAATTCATAAGTAACAATCTTCAGAATCTCTCTCTCCCCCCTTAGTGCAAAGCACATTATGACATTCCAAAAACAACTCTTCCCCATCCTCTTCTTCCTCTTCCCTCTCTTACACCTTTCCCACCAACAAAACTGCCCTTCTTCCTCATGTGATGGACATAGCTATCTCCATGTCCGTTTCCCCTTCCGGCTTCCCCACAAGCAGCCAAGAACCTGCGGTTACCCTGGATTCAACCTCGCCTGCGACGATCAGCACAACACGGTCCTTGAACTCCCGAAAGTTGGTAGGCTTTTTGTCCGGAAGATCGACTATCTAAACCAACAGATCAGCCTATATGACCCTGGCCATTGCTTGGCCGGAAAACTCGTCGACTTCGACGCTTCTGGATCTCCTTTCGCCGCTCCTTTGCTCGTCAACTACACGTTCTTGAGATGTCCTAACGAGGTCGTGGGGTCGGGGTACACGGCCATTGGTTGCCTTGGAAACTCCACGTCATCGGTTCTGGCCACTTCTAACATGGATCTTGTGAAATCGATGCCGGAATCTTGTGTTGTAATGAAGACGTTGCCTGTTCCAGTTTCTTGGCCGACAGGGGAAAACGCAAGGTTCTCGACCGAGCTCAACGATCACGACATGAAGCTGACATGGGATTCACCAGATTGCAGAATATGTGAGAGAAACCAGCTTAGTTGTGGGCTCATAAGCAATGCCAGCCTTCAAGTCAGATGCTTTTATTATGACAACCCTGGTATTGACTAATGACAACTTCATTCATTCATTCATTTCGGATTCGATAAATTAGTTTAGATGATGTCTTGGAAGACAAGGGAGAAGTATGAGGAGGATGTTGTTATGGTGGAACACTTCAAAATCCAAGAGCCGTTGACAATTGTTCTTCAGTAATTAATTACTTGCTAATTAAACAGGCAAAAATAAATCTAGTGGGCATTTGGTGACATTGACTTTGATTAGTTAAATACCTTTTTCTATTATATAATCTCTGTAAGGAAGTATGTATGAACACGCTAGCATGTCACACATTGCATACCCAGCACAAACCCTTTGAATACGGACTTGTACAAAATAAACCCTTTTTTTTTTTTAATGTTAGTAGGTACAAAGAAGAAGTAGAATTTCAAACCATGTTTTATTCTTTTGGGCAGGAAACTTCAACACGGCTTTCCAAATACTGAAAATAGTAACCCTATCTGTAGCCGGACCAGCCGCCGTGGTGGCCACTTGTGTAGCCATTTTCGCATGCACCTCCGAACGGTTCAACTCCAATAGACGGAACGCATCTGCAGCTGCAGCCACGGTTGCTCCTCAGCCAAACACCGCCACGACCACGGGACTGGACGAGTCTACGATAGAGTCGTACAAGAAGGTCGAACTCGGAGAAAGTAGGAGGCTTCCGGGACCTAACGGGATCATATGTCCGATATGTCTGTCGGAATACGCGAGCAAAGACACCGTTCGATGCATACCCGAATGCGAACACTGCTTCCACGCTGAGTGTATCGACGAGTGGCTCCGCTTGCATAACTCTTGCCCTCTTTGTAGAAACTCTCCCTCTCCTGCTCGTGAAGGTGCCGCCGCCATTGCTGTCTGATATTTGATTGATTCGAGACCAGGGTAAGGACAGTTTTGCAATGTTGTCGCCATCACCCCAGAATGTGAGTTTTATCCATCAACCAGTAATGGAAGCATGATTCTTGTGATGGGTGTTTATGATCTAGAGAATGAAGGCATCGAGGAAATCTAAATATGGAGTTTATGAAGATTTTCTTTTCTTAGATGAAATGTTAATATGAGTGGATGAATTATTTCATGCCTGTAATTCTTTTCCAGGATGTGTGCACCAATTGTATTCGTGAAAAAAAAAACATTTACGTACACATAAATAATTAGTATAAGATCATCAAACCATCATATGTTCAATGGAAAAGACATTTCCTTAATTCATGAAAAATATAGCAACACCACGTGGCCATTTTTATTGAAATATTTAAAATTTTAAAAACTAAATGCACCAGCCGGGAATCGAACCCGGGTCTGTACCGTGGCAGGGTACTATTCTACCACTAGACCACTGGTGCAATGTGGTGGAACAACAACATTTTTCAGTGAACAAAAATATGAACGTTTTCCTCTCGTCGCTTTTGACTTCATGGCCATTCACGTCTCGTATGGTACTGCAGTCAATTATGAGAACCCTCTTTCCAAAGTTTTATTCAAGATCTCAATACTCATTGATCGATATCCTACGGTGAATCTATATGCATGTCACTGTACCCACCCAATATCTACTGACAAAGTGTGAGATACAAAGGAGACTCCAATTAAAACTGGGATGAGTGGGATGGTTTCTGAGGAAATCTGCAGTAGTTTGATCCTCTTGCCCTAACGCCTCTCAAAGCATTGGAAGCAAACCTCAAGGCAAAAACGGCGGCACCCAGGTTGAGTGTTGTTCCTTGACGTTGGCCTTCTTCTTCTGGGCATATAGAAAGCTTCCTTCTTTTGTGTATCCTCCATGCTGCTTGTATGTAACATGCCGCCCATCTCCTCCATTGAGCCGAATGGTACCTGAAAACAGAGCCAGGGATCTTTAGAATGCTCTTCGCAGGTTTGATCGTGTGAATTTAACTCTGAATGCTGTCGTTATCAAGTCTTGCCTGAACACGCTCTTGAATCTCCTGCCATGGAAACTAGTGTAACGAGTAACAACAAATTTTAGATCATCAGCTGACAGAACAAAGCCTTCAACATCGGTTATAGCCTGTATCTCACTGTCCGAGATGGGAAGATGAGAGGATTTGCGACTTAGAGCCCATTCAAGTAGTTCTTCACAACAGAAGTCACCAGCCCTGAGGCGATATGAACTGAAACTCGCATTGCCTCTCAGTATAAAAAGCATATCCTCAATCGGGTCACCCTTACGCACAATGTAGCTGTTCTTCGTGTAAAACACTGGCTTCACTAGCACACATAGCGCTTCCAGCTGCCGGATATCCAGAACCCCGAACAAAGGAACCTGGAAAAATTTCAGATAGTTTGGTGAAACTTGATCAATGGTAAGCGTGAATGTAAATTCAGAGAATAATGCCATACCCTCCTGAGCAAGTCGAGGCCAAGATGGTGTTTGGTGTCCCGTTTGATGTCTTTAGGAAGGCTAAGAAGAAGAGATTCTTCCTCAACTCCTCTGGTTTCTCTCCATCTGTACTGCTCATATCTCCTAATACGCTCTCTCAGCTCATCTGGCAGCGCCCTATGAGACATCCATTTCTCTGTGTCTCTACGTTTCTCCTCCATCTCCTCTGCTCTAACTGTTGTTGATTGTAAGTACTTCTGTTGTTCACAAAAAAAAAAGGGATCTTTTTTTAAGCAAAATCATGTTTTGCTGCTCTAATCTCATTACCTCAAGCTTGTGAAAGACATAAAGAACTCTGGGCACTACCTGCATATTGCCGATGAACAGAGCAAACAAGACTAACCCAGATACACAGATTACGAGAGCAAAGAGGATATCCCCAACAAAGCCGCCCGTCTTCAGGTTTTGGCCCAAAGCACTATATTTGTAAAGAAGATCCATGTCTAAGTTAATACAAACAACACCTTCCAGACCAGATTTCAGCTTTGATGAGCAGACAAACTCTTGTCCGCTTGGGCTTTGATTAGAGATTCAAAGCTAAAGAGTTAGGATATACAGACCTAAGATTGCGGAGACCCCACCAAAAGCAGTGGAGAAACTTCCTGGGGAAATTCCTTGAATCGACAAGACCAGACTGAAGTGCTTCAGTGAACATCCCAAAGTTGAACACTGCGGGGTCGGTGATTTGGTCGGGGTCGATTAATGGGCATGACCCGTTTAAGAAACGACCATTGTCCCCAACAGCTTGAGCACAGTAGAGATTTGCATGAACGCATCCGGGTATCTTGGCACATTCGAAACGCCAACACATGTCTTTCCTTTCTATGGAGATCAAGTACCAGTAAGCTCCAATCACCTGATCATATCAAAGTGTTGTCTTTAACGATTCTTGTTCCAATGTCACAACATGATCAGGAGAGCAAAGACTTACATTACTTGCTAGCATGTAGAGGAGGAGATTCAAAGCAGCTGCTGCCCACTTCGTCTCTGTCACTCTACCGGAATCTCTTGTTACTTGTTCGTAAAGAGGATAGATTCGGATGCTTCGGGGTACGTATTGACAGACTAGAACCCATTTCAGCATCTCCTTGGTCACCAACGATGTAAGCCTCGACCTTGGAGTGATAGACAGAACAAGAACCTGCAAGAATTGGAATTTCATCACTCTCTGCTCAATGGAAACCATCGTGAATGTCATGAGGAAGAGAACACACCCACCTGGGGGACAGGGAGAAGAGAGAGAATGTCAATCATCAAGTAGAAAAAGCGATGTCCTTTAGCTGCTGTAGCGGTAGAATCAACGAGCATTTCTCCTCTAAAAGATACTTGACAAGGAGCTCTTAAATAAAACAAGATGTGAACCATATACAAGGCATCGAGAATGGTTCGGATAAGACAAGCTGTTATAGCTGGATACTTGTCCAAAGCCAGACAGAATCTGTCCCGTTCGAATACAGGAATATACAGAAACAGAGGATCAAATGCCAAAGCAAACACGCAAACTATCAGGAAAACCCTCTTCCAGTTCCGCAGATGCCAATCTCGCGAACGTTCTCCAGTTACAGAAGACCCCATTGAAGTTCTCTTCCAAACTCTTTGTTCGACCAAATTCGATCCTACCGTAGGACTTTGTTTTTATGAAGGTTCACGACTTCCATTTCTTTCTCAATCTGCAGTTTTTGTACCCATCAAGCCCTAGCCTGCGACAAAGCAAAATGATGAATCTTTTCGTACTCTTTGATCATTTGGACAAGATTTAACTTACCCAACTGCTCCATACCTTTACTTAAGCTGCTAATCTCCTCTCGTTTGACTCTAACGTGCACAGAAACGTTTGCCAAAGCAGAGTTATATCGAATAAGGTTGGGAGGAGTGAGAGTAACTTCTGCAGAAAGAGGGAGAAAGTTCGAGGAAGATGATATGGTCGCCGCCATTGCTACTGACTGCGACCTCGTGCATGTAGGACGAGATACAGACAAGACCAAGTGGGGGTGGGACGACAAGTCTTCTTTTATCTACCCATGAATCAAGTGGCAGATTACAGTTTCTAATTCTGTGTTCTCTCTTTCCATTGTTTCTGAATCTGTCATAATGATCGATGACTCGTTATGGGCCATGGGCCCAAAGAGACCAAATTGTGATGAGCCTTTAAAGCCCAATGGCGTTGTAAGGATCTGTACGGGAGACGAACCGCTTAGGCCTTCCTCACGTAAAAGACATTAACAATCAGTTTACCAGTTATTTCCAAAAACCTTTATTGATAAATACAAAAACAAGCGTCAAAATCACGTGGGACATTGAAGAAGAAGCAAATACAGAGGCAAGGCAATGCATGGTATGCATGCCAACATGAAAAAACCCACTACTACGTGAAACCAAAAGGGCTAATAATAATAATAATAAGTCAATGTCATCGTCTATTGTATCATAAGCCGGGTTGCAGAAACAAAAAGAAAAACACAGAGACAACGTGTAAAATTCCGTGTACTCAGCTCCGACGATGACTAAGCGCTCTTCTTCCATTCTTTCACATGCTTGTAATAATGGTACATACAGTCACTCTGTAAAACTGGAGTTCTGAATTCTCCCCAAGACAAGTCGAATTTATTTGATGTCATGGTGATGGTGGTGGTGTCTTATCCGAGTGAGAACTGTGTCGGCTACCTTACTAAGATTTGTCTTCATCAGACAGAGAACACGTCGGTCCAGGAACTGAATCCACGAAGAACTCCTCCACTGTTGCAGAAAAAGAGAAGAACAGGAAACTGTGTTTCAAACTTTTCCGGCGAAAGATCATCTATTCCTGAAACTACACTGGCTGTGAAAGAGAAAATATGCTGCAAGGGATTTCATCTTTACCTATGCCCTCTTGCTCGGGAGAATCAAGCAAAATTTCCGAGTCTGATGGAAGAAATGGAGAACCCGGATAGTTTCCTAGGGCTCCTAAATCTGCATATTACAAATCAACATCAATCTCAGCATGTCACTAGATGTATACATCAGAAGCGACAAGTGACAACCAATGGATTGAACGATTTCTTAAACTTCAGACCCTTGAAAAGAAGCACCTTCCTAGTGACTTTTAACAGGTAAATGACAGAAGAAAAAGGAAGAAGAACTTGCCTCCAAGGTTTGACAAATCAGCAGTGAGGTCAGAGAGGCTAAAGTCCCACTGAATCTGGTCAAATGGCCTGAGGGAATCTCTGGAATTGCCAGCTCCTCCGTCTGGTCCAAGTTGTAAACTCACCGAAGTTGAAACATCAGTTGTGAAAGCAGAATCGAGAGCTGATGTGTCCATTGCCATGCCTGTCATGTCTGAAGCAGCAAACTGGAAGTGCCCGCTTGATTCCACGGAAGTTGGACTCACTGCCATCTCCGACATAGTTGACATTCCACTGCTTGGTGGAATCACTGGAGCTGCTTCAGCTACTGTTGTATCTATCACCATACTGCATCCAGCACCAAAAAAAAGAAAAGAAATGAACTGGGTTAGCCTGGATGGATAGCTTGGTATACACAAATCTTTCAATGTGTGAATCTGGTTTAAAAAAAGAAAAGAAAACAAAAACAAAGTAGAAAATAGAAAATAGAAATGGTGAATCCCATAATGCCCTACTGAAAGGTAGTGCTTACTCATTCCCTGAGTTCATCCTCATTGGATGGAAATTCCCGGGTGCAGGGAATCCGTTGACCACATGGCAGCTTGATATCCCGCAACCCATTGCATCAAGATGGGGCTGTCCCGGCACAGGCATGGGAGGATGTTGTAGCACAGGGTATCCCATAGGCATGTTATTAACTGCACTGTGAACATATAACGTTAAATAACAGTGAACAATAATTACAGGTATTTGCAAAGTAAAACAACTCTACTAGAAATTTCATATATCCTATGCTCAAATACTGTCTAACTATATACAAGGTATAATATACAGATGCCAACGGTCCATACTTTCCGCTTAGCTTAAGCAAAAACCGAGGACGGATACCTGGAAGTTTGCAAGTGAATTCGGGGTACAAACTTACCAGGCCTGGGGTGAATCCCATTCTGTATCGGAGCCAAAGGAATTTTCGGAGGGACGGGATACTTCATGAGATGATACTGATGCTCAAGCAAATGATTGAAGAAAATTATTTGCTTCTTCAGTTTCAACCTGATGTAATAGGCCCTGAAAAAATCTGCATTTTCTTCTTCTAATTTCTGCCATACTGAATTCACCAGAAGAGAGAATTGGAGAAATCAGAAATGGCAACTTAATGCTATGTTTTACTTTGAAAACGCTGTAATGTATGCTATAAATAGTACATATATTCAATCATATGACAGACTGCATTTGGTATCATGCTTCGCCGACCATTATTCTGTGAGTCTCTCCTACTTTACTGTGGCTATATAATTGTTGATAATCTGACATCAGACACCAAAAGCAAGAAAATGGTCCAATAAACAAAGTAAATATAAAGATTTCAACAAGAAGCTTCAAAAGCTTACCCAAGGTTGTAAATCCAGGGTCTATTCTTGCACGAGTCAAGAGGGTCTTGACGACCTCGTCTCTATTCATGTACAACTGTAGACATCTTTCTATTAGATTTTGGACCTACATCACCATTTCCAAAGGATATTGTCATCAAATGCTGGGGATTTACCAAGGGAGCATATATATGTGTATGTGTGCTGAAAGAGAAAGAAGTTAAACATGACTTTTTATCAGGTAAACTGATGGCAAAATAGAATAGATTTCTTACAAGTTCAATATCTTGCCTTGAGATTTTCCTACCATCATTGCTAGAAGCAGATACAGAACCTGAATCTTGTGCTGGAGCTTCTGTTGATTGATCGTTTTGCTGGTCACCATGGGACTCATGTGAAGCTTGAGTAGAAGATTGTTTCTCCAGTGTGCTCTGCAATCCAGTTGAAGTTTTGGTAAATCCAACTCTACAAGTAATGAAGCAGCTACAGCATTACTTTTAAAATCAAGCAGACCAATTGCTATGAATAGATTCACTATGCTTAATAATGAAACTTATAACATGGCCCAACCTCTACGATGAAAGCATTGACCTAATACTGAGCGGAAATGCAACAGGCACTAGTGACCTTCAACAGAATCTAATTGCCGTTGGGTTTGCTGGAAGAAGTAATATTAACTAGAAAGAATCTCAAAAGTAAAAAAGTGGCAAAAGTATCAAAAAGTACAAGTTCTTGTATTTTTGGAACAGGGAGAAGATACTGTGACAATAGTATGGAGAGGAAACATCAGAAGACTATGTTACAGAAGAACCTGTACGTTCTTCATTAGAGCTGAACGTAAACTGTACGAATCCTTCAGTCAGAACTGTTCCCTTTAGCATCATTTAGGACAATGCAATTTGTAAAGCTCCTCAACATCTTGGCATGCAACGCTTGTAATGTCAAACCAAAGATAAACCCTGGATAAAGAGGAAACGACCATTAAGTTACAAGGCAATGTTATATCACGTACCTCTCGAGCAATTAAAAAAACGAAGACTGGAGATTTGTTGCCAGAACAGGAACCCGAATCAGCCGTCATACAAACCATACAAGAAATAATTAACAAGTCAAAACAGTATACATTTCGAGTGTTAGAAAATAAAGACAAGAGGAAAGCATTTTGGACAGTGAATTCACCATGAGACCAAACATGAAAAGTGAGTTCCTAAACATTATTTAATAGGAAATGAGATGCCAGTTAGGCACAATCCACGGCATAAAACAATAAAGAAATAGTTCATAAAGTTACCAGAAAGCTAAACCTACAACTCCGAACAACAAAAGCAAAAACAAAAAGCACACAAACAGAGATACAATAACAGAGATACAATACCCATAATCTCCAAAAATATTTCATGATTAATCTTTTAAATGGGATCAAGTCATCAACCAGAAACTTACAACATCACGAGGACGAACCAACCCAAGATTATGAGTTATTCCTAGTACGGCTTAAAATTCTGGTATACCCACCTATAAAACTGAAATCTAATTCTCTCAGCATCTGAACCAACACACAGACTGCAGTATATGTGAAATAAATGACCTTAACTCCAGAAAGTGTTGCTGTTTATGGCACAAACATGTGCAATAAAGCAGTCACCCGTGATTCTTCAAATAGAAAACCGTTAAAATAAGAGTCAAGGGAACCAAATAATAGATCTGATGCAATAAAGCCTGAATCTTTATGCGTCTCTTGGCTTTGCTGATTTTCTCAGGATTTTAACAAAGCGGGATGCGATAGTTATAGCTTCAATTTGAAGCTCCTGCTTCAGACATGCATGTGAAAAATACGCAACAAATGATTCCTGGAGAGGGTATGCAAATAGTGTCCGAGCAATATTAAATTAAAATAGGAAACAGATCCCCACATAATGGGAACTTACTAATAATATAATATTAGAAAAACCCACAAACAAAAGTTTTAGACTTTAAACGTAATGACCACGAACATGGAATGAACAAAAACCTAAAAAGGTTCCATGGCGTCTTACCGTCCTTCGAGCTTCAAATCCTCGGAAATTCGCAGCGAATCCAAAATGTCACTCACAGAGAAAGTTTTCTCGACGAATTATTAGATCCGAAAATTACCAAGTGAACCCTAAAAAAAAGGTCCGACAAGATTCGAACCTAATAACGACAAGATTTGCAGAAAACTCTTCGGAATGCAAAGAGACTGAATCGGGAAAAGCTAGTGCGAGATCCGACGGTAATCGCCGGAAAATCCCGAGGAGGAGGAGAACTGTGGGAGATTTGGCTTCTCCATCACCGAGAAGCGAAGTTGCAGACAGAGATACGCAGCAGAAAAACCAAACATACAGCAGAGAGAGAAAGACCAAAAGGGGAGTTTCTTTATACAATTCCACTTGTGTTTATAATTGCGTAGAAAATGAGAATATGGGGAAGAAAGAGTCGGTGGGATTCCGACAGAGAAATGGCTAGGGTTTTGATTTAAACAAAACATCCTCTAACATACGAAATCGAAAGAAATAAATATGAGATTATTCAGTGACTTAGTTACACTCTCATGACGGACCAAAACTGACTAAAGTTGTAAACATTGCAATGATAACCGTTCATGAACATTACACGAGAAATGGGTTTAACGTAGGAAAATTTTATAATATTTTAATGTTTAGATCGTATCTAGATATGTAACTATAGTTTAAAAATCACGAAAACAATTTGTATTTGCTAATTTGAGGTATTTATTTGGTGGTGGGGTGTAAATGAAAATGTAAGGTAAAAAAAGACAAGTAGGCATTGCATGGCCTGCAGACTCCTGTACTCCCCGGGAACGGCATTACTTTTTTTTTCCATATTATTATTATTATTATTATTATTATTATTATTATTATGAAGTGGTCCGACCTTTTCTTCGTGAAGCACCAAGCAAGATCTCCTGACTGCGAGCTTTTAGATCTTCGGACTCACCCTTCGTTGGCCATTTTCTGCACATCTTTTTCCCTCGAATTTTAATTTTATTTTATTCCACATTTACGCACAAATCATTCACATCATACGACGTGTGCATTTTGGCCGTTTTGTTGAAATAAGTGTAGATGGTCTAAAATATATTATTTTGTTTTAATGATTATTATGATACATTTAAAAATTGCTAAACCAAGATGTGGTTGTGGTATTAATTGCTTTTGGCATTTTTTGTGACAGTGAAAACGCAGCTGCATTTTGAGTGAAGCCGGTCACGAGCCACGCCCACGTCCACGACCACGTGAGCCTGATCAACAAGGCGACCCCTTTATTAATTCAATTAAAATCCACACATTTTTAATTGATTCAGAAAATTAATTATAAAGGGCCCAAATGTTCGGCTAATCTAGTGGACCCTTGCCTATTATAAGGCAGGAAAATTTTATTATTAAAAAACAACAATTATGTCTATTCAAATTTCGTAAATAATGTCTATATAAAAGAGAACTATCAGCCTCTCATCTCATCTCAAACCATCAAACAAATACCGTGGGCCAAAAGTATATTGATCATTAACGAATGTTTGTCCAAAAAAATAAATAACGTTGTTATAATACTACTGAAAATTACAATAAATACAATATTTAAAAAAGACGCCCCCAACTTTGCTCTTTTTTATTTTTATTATTTGTTGTGATTTTTGTGTGAGTCGAAAGAGAAGTTCCAAAGGGGACGGCGAGAGCTGAAGGCCGCGTCACAGACGATATACGGCGGGATACGTGTCGAGAAAAGAGAGGGGGAGCGTGTGTCCATCGATAGCCTTGGGATTTGGTAGGGGCAAAAATGTCCAAAATATCTATACGGTTCGATTCTTATCCCAATGATGGGATGGAATATGTTAATAAGACATATACGAGACAAGATTATGATTAGCCCCACGTTGCTTATAGTTATGGATTATTGGATTAAAAGTGAAACTCTCCCTAATTCCATTCCTTGTTATGATTCTTCTACTAGTGTTATTTTACACGTCAGAGCATAATTATTGATTTTAGGTTAGGACCTCCATCTCCTTCACTTCTGAGCTACAAGTACCCACCGCCAAGCATACAATGCATTCGCCTTAATCTCAAGTTTTTCTCAACATCGTCTTAATCTCAAGTTTATCTAGAGTTTGACCGTATGAGTTCTTCGTGCATTCTTCTATTGGACAAAAAAAATAAAAGAGAAAAGCCTAATATATAAGTTCTTTCCGTATGGGCAAAGGCTACAATTTCTTTCTTGTTGGAACCCTAAAAAACCAGTTCGAAGAAGAAGATTTAAAGAAGAGAAAAAACAACAAATGAATAGGAGCTACATCTACTAACAGTAAGTCGCCTAGAGCCGTCCCTTGCCGAGGAAAACAACAGAGCATCCTCTGTGAGGATGGTTCCTGATGCTTTTCTTTCTGAGATAGTGTAGTGTACATACACTCCGACCGGGTCAGGTACTTTCCCCAGCTGTAGTTTTCCATCTGTCCAATCGCTTCTTTCTGCAGAATGATATCCCGGTACAGGTCAAAAGTCGAGCAATTTTCTCCGTCCACATCCCTCAGTTTCCAAGCAGGTGGGAATGCATTCGTTTGGTGGTTCTTCTTCTTGCGTTTTTGCTGAGCAATCAACTCCCCCTGCATTAGAAAAATCTGGTCATACCTATTTGATATCAACTAAAATATGTTAAAAGGGTAAAAAAGAGAATCTGAGATGTAACGCTCAAAATCTGGTCTGTCTTAAAAAAGGGCACCAAAACAAAGTTACTTACCTGGGGAGGTTAGGTGATGAAGGCTGTTCTGGCGAAGCCATCTGAGCGGAAGACGCACCGAGAAACCTCGGATCTTCATTTGTGTTCGAGGAGAACCCCATAGGTCCAAGGGACCCGAACTCGAGCTGTTCAGCTGTTGCATTGTAAACAGTATTATGATCATACGGATAGAACATCACGACAGGTGGAGTGCTGTGACCCTCAAAGGCCGCACCACTCTGCTTCATGCCTGGCATCCTGTACATGCTATAAGCCATATTAGCAGAACCCTCCTGTGAAGTGGTGGTTGCACGGGTAGGGCCGTTCTGGGAATGATATGATGAAGATTCATGCCTATATGAGCCCCAGTGCCTATCTGATCGGTCTTGCCTTGAGTTTGCCTTTTCAGCTTGGCTACGATTGTGACCACGCCCAGAACCCCGCATCTTAGCAACGTTCCAATTCCCATCTCGGTCACCATGATGTGTGTTCCTGTCATGCCCATAATTCCCTCTCCTCATGCTCGAGGAATGCCTCTCCCTATTGGAGATCTTCTGCAACATTTTTTAAGTTCATCGAGGCATCAAAAGGCTAGTGGATCTATGTATCTAGAAGCTACAAACAACTTACACAGGAACAAAGAGGATACAGCCACACACTATCGATATCAACATTTAGAAATAAACAACAAAATATCCACATAGTTAGCCAGAAACAGATCCGAGTCCTCGGAATATAAAACATATCATTTACAACGAAACAGAAGACTTTTACTTCTGCATTGCAGAAGAAAATGTCATCTTTACTTTCAATCAATCACCAAAGAACAGAAAGATTGGCAAACACAAAATTCATAACAATACGATACAGCTAATTTTCCTAGCAGGAGAGAGGAGTTCAAGTTGGTTGACATCTCAGACGACAGATGACTCATAATTTCACATGATAACAAACAAGAATGAAAAGAATAAACATGGACGACAGATCACAAGACGAAATAAAGAAATGAAAATGCAGCATCAAATTGACCAAAATATGTAAGCAGAAAGACTGGAAGCTCCCAAGACAACAATAATGCATGAATAAAACAAGGAAAGAGCCCATAGTTCTTACAGGATTTGGAAAGTAGGTCCCTGTCCCACTCCGATATCTGGGCATTTCATCTGCATATCGGGGGTAAACGTTAGCTGGTCTAGTTGAAGCAGACTGTAAAGGAGCAACGGGTACAAGTCGAGGTCCATAAGTCATAAGCTGATTGGCAACATTTGTGTAAGCAAGAGGTCTTCCAGGACCATCCCATGGCATGCGTCCCTGCAGATAAGCAGGTGGGACAACCACAGGAGCAGAATAAAGCAAAGGAGGAGATTGTGAATTCTGGCAGAGACGGCCATACTGTAAGTTTTGCCAATGGCTAACAAAATCACCATTAAGAATATCAGGTTTTTGCTGCATTGGCTCAACTGAAGCTGCAATTTTCGAGGGCTGGGAAGAAGTTATTAGCTCAGACTGATCAAGTCCCCTATATGAGTCAAAACTTTTACTTGAATCGCTATTTTCCGTAGCTTCATCCACATTGCAATGACTGGTTGATGCATCTGACGTTGCATTACCAGCTTGAAAGTTGTATACTGGAAACATTGCGACGATTGGAACAGGTGGCCCAGTCGGATAAAATGTATACCCCGAGTTATCAACAGTTTTTTGCTGCAAGCCATGACCAATATACAATGGTGCAAAAGGTATTATGGATTCTGATCCACTTGTCTGTGCTGGTTCAAGACCCTGCATTTGATGCCTCTGAACCTGCCATTGCACAGCAGTAGGCTGAGGCCCTATATCCCTTTCTGGCATTTCACTGCTTGATACAGGAACCCACTCTCTGTTATCATTATCAACCTGGATTGAGTGCTCAGGTACGCCCTTTCCTTTCCCAGACAATGCAGATGGAGGCCCAGGAGATAATACTTTCCTGTTCCGTTTTTCCCTAACTGGTTTTGAGCCCCTTGTTGTTGATCCATCCCAGGAGCTTTCAGATGAAGTTTTGCTTCTAACAGAGCTAGCACGAGACACAGATCTAGAGCCTGTGGTCCTCTCATCAGTCGGCATCTGATTTCCAGCTCTAGCTGGATAGTGGGAATTATCTGAATCATCTTCCCTCACTGACCATGTTTCGCTAAATCTCCGACCTGTGATTTCATAGCTATAGTCTTCCGTAGATGAATGCTCTTTATCATTAGCCTGATGCATCCCATAACCACCGGTTTTGAGATCAAAACTGCTAGTTCCCCTTTCTTGCTCGAGCCTCAAATCATGTTCAGGCTCGCCAATATTAATCTCCACAGAACCCATGGTGTCGTTACCAGCTTCACCTGAGTTTTCCATATATGGAGGGAATCCACCGGGAAAATAATGACTAGATGGTGAAAAAACTAAGCTTTGCTGAAATTGCATATTGGCACCCCAAGCAGTCTCATTGAAAGGAAGGTTAGCAGGAACAATGCCAGCCAAATTCCTCTGACCATATCCCATCGAAGCTAGGACGGAAGGTGCAATTGGAAAAGGCAAGTGACCACCAGCAAAATTTAAGGGAAATGGAAACTGCCCGTTAAAACCATATGCAGCAGACGACATCAAGTTAATGAGGTCTTGCTCTTCTTGTTGCATTCCCTGCGCCCCTGGGACAGGAGAGTTTTTCTTCATGGAACCCGAACCTAAATCATCTTGATAATTAGTAACTGCGCTGTTTGTCTCAGCGGTACTATCAAGACTTTGATGGGATGAGGTATGCCTAACTGATGATGAGTCAGCAAAAGACCTACCATGGCTCGATGAAGTCTCGGACTCATTCTTTTTTCTGATATTTTCAACCCTCGAAGAATCGGTTTGGCATTTCCCAGGTTCCGGGGCTCTATAGAGCCTTGATGGTACAGGAGTTTCACCATATATCTCAGTAAGCTCAGGGCTAGAACGAGTCCTGGAAAACAGATGCCTTCCCTGGAAGTTATTCACCATGGATTCTGGCTTAAAACTTCTCTGGAATTTATCATTTGAAACGCTTTGGCTTGTAGTGACTTCATGTCCATGATGGTCAGAGACTTTTGAGCTGTTTGTGTCACTTCCTCTAGACTTACTTTCAGCCTTATACTTATTCTGTTGAGAGGGAAAACTGGGAGTTCCGCGAACCCCGTCAATATTAATCTCATGACACAAGGAATTTTCATTTCTTTTGCTGCCTGAAGAATTACCAAATTTTTCGGCTCGATGACGCAGGTCAGGATCTGACAGTCTTAATTGCCATAAACCGTCTCCAGGAGCATCAGGACGATGACCGCTACCATGTCTTTCCCAGGTATTCATAAAAAAATGGTCTATTTCATGAAACAACCCATCCTTAGGGCAATCAAGGAACCTTGCCAATTTCTTTGCACCGAAGGCAAATGCACTCCGTATCCTAAAGAAGTTACCTGATACAACAATTGAACAGGAAGAGGAAATTAGAAGTATGTAAAAAATCCAAAAAATAATTTGTGATCTTGTATCATTGACAAGGCAAAAAGAAAAGAAACAGGCTAAGAAGCAACCAAGACGAGACATGAACAGCATGTTTATCGCTGCATAACATACAAGAGTTAAACTGTAAATGTATAGATTTGGTATCGAACTTGAACTGGCAGCAGCTTTCATCTCAGCAAGTACCTTTACTGACACTACGCCCAAGATTGTTGTTTTCACGCAGAGGGTCAATAACATTGAAATGTTTGGAAACAAAAGGCTGCCCCTGATTTTCTTGCGTAGCAGGGTAAACTGCATAAACTCTACTACAAGCTTTAAGAAATACTTCACTAACTTGCAACTCTCCACCATTCTTTCGAGGAGGCTCCGCTGAAAATTGTTTAATAGCAAAACAATTAGTGCCAAAGACAGCTTTGCTGCACAATCAAAGTTAAGGTAAGATCGACAGGCAAAACAAACATACCCGTTACATTTGGAAGTGAACTAATTGGAACAGGTCCCCAGAGGCTAACACAAAAATTCTCCCAGTCAAACTTACTAAAGAACTCAAGAAATCGATAGAGAACCTACAAAAGCAAGCAATCCTTTCAGAAAGGGTTGAAGAAGCATTTTAAAATTGTGAAGGTGATTGCATAGCAACAAATACCTCAAGGGGTCCAGCAAAAGAGTTATTGAATACATGAAATATGTAAAGAACCAATGTCTCCAGAGCATAAGTTGAGATAAGCCCATGGTGAGCGCCCAATATGCGGCTCTCATAGTAACACCAGGCCTTAATCAATATGATACTACGCTTGAATAAGTGGTTCTGATTTATATAATGATCAACCTGCACAGAAAACAAAGTAAAAATCAAATCAAGAACTGGCTCATCCAGAAACAGAAATTAAGTACACTGCTTACACAGGTCCACAACTAACCTCCTCAAGGAAGCATAGTGTACACAATCCTCCGAGTTGGTTGAAAGATATGTCCACCACAATGTTCTCCACAAGACACTTGATTATCTTCACCTGAAAAATCATATCGGGAAATTGAGAAACAATCAAATTCGCGAAGTAAACAAGTCCACACTTCCCACTAACATTATGACAGAGGGAGAATTTACCAAAGAGAAATCAAGATGATATAACTAATAACGGCAAGTGGAACTAAAGGGACCTACTTCAGCTTGAATGTACTGGACTTCTTTGACACAGAATTCAGCATTCTCATTCTTCTCCTCCTTTTCCAACATATCACGAACCACATGAGCCCATGAATCCTTCAAATTTTGGTTTCTGCTGAAGGCAGATAAGTCGATGTCGCCATCAGGCAAATAAGTCTTCAATGGTACAGATCCAAAAGTAAAGACCTGCTAAGACAAGGAAAGTATCAGTTGAAGCCAGGATCAAAAACACATTACGAATATATGACCCAGGAAAAAGGCAGAGAATTTTACTCCATCAAACACAACAAGCACACAAGCATATACAAATTCCGACGCTTTTTTATGAACCAAGAAAATTCAAGTCAATACAAAGACGACAAAAGAGACGAAGAAATCGCCCCACCTCGACCTGGTGAGGGAAGCATTCCATAATAAGCCTCTGCACATATCTCGCAACAGCATTGCGGCGGTCTTCGGAGGGCGGGTTGGGCTGGATGCATGCGATGAGCTCGGCGGTTCTCTCCTCCGCCTTCGCCCATCGCTCGGCGTCGAGCGGCCGTATAACCGACGCAGCTTTGCCCGGCAATAGACCGTTTGGTAATACGCCACTAGGTGGCGGTGACGCCGCCCACCCTTCATGCTCACCCATGCAAATCTCACCCTTATCCTTCACCGACCTCCGACACGACCACACCTCAACCACCAAGAATCAACCCTCCCAATCTAACGAATCGCAACTATGCCGGAACACATACAGAGCATATACAACCCGTCGAAATCAGCTTTCCGAATTGTTTTTGGTTGCTATGAAGCAACCCACAGATTCTATTCTGCTTCCAAGTCACGGAAATAGGGAAATATTTCCTACGAGCCAAACAGAACCTTCGATACCTGTGTCGTAACGTATCTAACAAATACTCGAAACAGAAAATTGAAAGAAACTAATCGATTGCGGAAGATTCAAGCCCAAAAAAATGTTAGGAGTAGAAATCAGAGGAGAACAAATCGAAATCAACAAAAAGAAGGTAAAGGCACGAAGGGGGGAAGAAAAACCCTAGAGGAAAAAGAAGGGAACGAAAGTTAGATTCTAAAAACAGGTAAGCGAGAATCAATAAGAACCCTAGGATAAAGCCGATGATAAATCGAGCAGTTTCATCAAATCAATAGGCAAATGCGAGATTGATCCAGGGACGACGAGGACGAAGAAGAAGAAGAAGAAGAAGAAGAAATGAAGATGTAGTAAAAGTAGTATTGATTAGGTTTTTCTTATTTGTGATTTTTATTTTTTATTTATTTTTTATCGTTTTCCTTTTGTTAGTGGGGAAAGAGGAAAAAGAGGGAGTGTTTGGTTACGGGGATTGTGAATTACGGGGGCTCTGGTGGTGGAGAGATTCGTTTGACGTTGGTCAGTGGCAATGGTGGGCTTGTGAGGGAAAGTCTATTGCACCCCAAAATAAAATGGTAAAAAAAAAAGTAAAATAAAATACACCATTTATATGTCATTAATATTTAATTATAATCATATATAGCCTTAATATTTATTTATTTAGCCTAGAGACTAACCAATGGAAACGTGGGAGGAGTCTCAAACACAAGATCGAGATGATTTCCATTAAATAATTTCCTTCTTTTTATTATGCAGTATGTATTTACATGCTAAGTATCGTTAATAAATTCTAATTATTGCTGTAAATAATAAAATAAATAACAATAATAGCTGTAATTGCTAATTATATGTCTATTTTGAGTATGCAAATAGTCCACGTGTTAACTTTGTTTTGAGGCCATAAATACATGGAGGGTGACCGAAATAAATGGTCGACTCGACTGATCCTGCATTAATGTCGTTTTAAGCTTAGTTACAGATCATTAATTAGAACTAATCAAGCTTAGTACTTTTGAATTTTACTTAAAGATCTTCGATTTTTTCACGCCAAGGAGATATTTACGTTTCTCTCCATTCATTCTCTT